TACTTCCTCGACAGAAAAATTCAGGAATTTTTCAGTGCCTCCATTTGACGAAAATCGAAAAATTCAAACTTTGAACTTCTCGCTCAAATTGCGACCAAAAATAACAAAAACTGGAAAAAATTGCGGACCTTCTTGCGGAATTTCCGCACTTTGTCAATACTTCCATACCGTACTTGAAAAATCAGTACTATTTCCGGGCTTTCCGGAAATTCCGGACTCGTAGACACCCTGATCGGGCGTTCTCAAGTTCGGGAGATGTGGGTTCATGATGAGGATCGTCTGAAATTTAATAGCACATCCGCTCAACAAATGGCGGAGGCTAAACACTACAAGCATGTATCTCGATTTGGACCGAGTCCCCAAGCATTTTTTGGATTCAGATAAGAGATAAACCGTCTTTATAGCTTGAGAATTTTCCAGAGTGAACGCTGAATGTTACATCATTATCGCGCGAGACTTTTTCAGGGTGAGCACTGAATAGTATACAGAGAACGAGAAAACTTGAGAAGTACTCAGTGATGCTCTTACAGGGTGTCTTGTTTTTTTCATTTTGGGAAATCCTGACGAAATCCTGATTTTTCCTAATTTCTGACTGCTGAATCCTGATTTCATAATTTTTCCAAACCCTTATCAAATCCTGATTTTTTGCGGAGAAAAAGAGGCGAATGTAACTTCACAAAAATAGCTCGATTAAAAAATCCGATCGGACGGTCGACTTTTCTAAAATTCTGATTTTACGACCAATTTTTCCTCAAATCCTGATAAAATCGGGATTAAATCCTGATCGACCTCAAATCCTGATAGAATCAGGAAAATCGGGAAAATCCTGATGCTAGACACCCTGTCTTAATTTGTTTAACTTCTAAAATCAAGTAACCGCTGAAATTGTGAAACGAGGTGATTAGAATGCGTGCTTTTGGAGTTCACCATCGTCATGCTACTCCTTAATTGGCATTTCATTTTCTAAGTTAGAGCCTTTCATGGACTTAAACTTGGCGTTTTTACCACCTCCATTTACTTATTCATTATTTCTAAGTTTTAAGCAATGCTTTAGAAAAAAGACGAAGGAAAAGAATACAAAAATCCTTAAATCTAGTTACTCTGCAATGAATCAATTTTCAGTGAAAATTTGATTTTGAAACAGCTCGAAATAGACCGGAGAGGACAACCCGAGGGGAAATGGCAATTCGAAAGATGAAACGGTTTGCTTTTAGAATTATTCTAAGCTGCACGTCCTGATTAATTTTTTTTTCTAATAGTTGACATGCTATAGAATAATTATATTTTTGACGATTTCTTTAAAAAGTCTCAAAATTAAAAAGCCGGTAAATCGGCTATCGAATTTTTCTTCTCTTTCTTTTAGATCCGTACTCACAGGGCAGTGTTCGGTTGTTCTTCAAAAACAAAGTGAATAATTTTGCGAATTTTCACTATCTGACAACAGCTGTTGATGGAATAAATAAAAGAATGCCGAAGGACAACGTCGCAAGGGGGGAGGGGAGCGTTTTCATAATGCAATATTTCTTCGCAAAGGGCGGTTGAATAATTCGATTCCAGATTTCTCAATGAGGGCCCACGAAAGGCTTGCCGAACCACGGTACAAAACTTTCGAGTTTACCGACTAAATCAATTTTATCTGATCACAACATGGTGAGGATGTGGCAGCGTAGACTCTTCGTTGAATTTTATTTTCTTCCTCTTGTTTTGATGTCATTGAATACCTTCATGCCCCTTATTTAATGTAAACAGGCCGTGGGTCTTGGCTTTTGGACTAATGGTATTTAGAGACCCTATCCTGGAATCCTTTCCGTTTTAACGGCATCATTCTTGGGGACTAATCGCGCATAGAGAAAGCTTTCTCTATGCGCTTTTTCTATTTTAAAGAAAATGTTCTCAATTTGAAACGGAGAAAAAAGGTTGCAGCTCGAGGTTGAAAAATTGCAATATTTTGGCCGAAGGAAAAATTTCAAGGTTTTGCAGGAAGATTTCCTGACTTCAGGGTGTCTACTAAAACAGACTGGCCGAAAATCAGTACTTTTACAGTGCTTTTTCCGTACATTCCCAAGAAATTCAGTACCTTCTGAACGGAAAAATTCAGTACTTTTTCAGTATCTCTAATTGACGAAATTCGAAAAAATTCAAAAATTTGGATTTCTCGCTCAAATTGAGACAAAAATGAAAAAAAAATGAAAAAAAAAAAATCCGAGCCTTCTTGCGGAATTTCCACACTTTTTCAGTGCTTCCGGACCATCCTGAAAAAAGCAGTACTATTTCCGGACTTTCTGGAAATTCCGGACTTGTAGACACCCTGGACTTACTCACATTCCTGAATAACTCGTCACCCTACCCCAGGTGTTTCGATTAAAATGTCTGTCTTTTCGAGGTTTTTCCTGATCCTCACATCCCTTCAAAAACCACGAATAGATGAAAACTACTACTCGATTCCAGCGGGCCGATTATTAAAACTTATAGACAAAGCTATAGACAAAGACGACAAAAGGGATTTGGAGGGATCCTATTGGTGGAAGCAGGTGGTGGCAATGGACATAGGAGGTAGGTAATGAAGTAACTAACGGCAACCCCCTAGAGACCCGACAGTTAGTCCATAATTTTCTTCCTTAGTCTATAAGAACCAACCATGTCAATCAATAGGATCGCTCCATACTCCCTACTTCTTTTTTGTCTATAGCTTTGTCCATCAGTTTCAATAATCGGCCCGCTGACGTGGTTCAAAAGTAAAAACTGGAACTTCGAGAAAAAGTGAAATTCCCCTTTCCCCCTTGAGCTCTCATCTTACGCGCCGTTTTTCTTCGGAAGGAAGGACTATAATTACGGGGGCCGGTGCGGGGACCAGGAAAAACTGGAAGCCAAGAGCGGAATCGAAAATACCGACTCCTCGGCTCCGGTGCGGAGTAATTTTAATTACTATGATTCCGAAAATTGACCGAGGTCGGAGCAAGGAGTAGGAGGAGGGGGAGGAGCACCCTAAAGTCGCTCCCTCGGGAACTCGTCTTTATGATTCAGAGCCATCGCTTTCATGTCCTTTCGACGCCTCCCGTTCCTCGCTCACTTATTAAGCGGTGCTGAGCCTGAGCCCCACGGCTGTCGCTTTGAGGAAAGATCCCGCTTTTATTCCTCCAGAAGATAGGCACTTGAAAGTCTTGGGATTCCTTTCCCATAAGAAAACAAAAAACGGGAGATGATTACGAGTTGAGGATTTTTACGCGGTGAAATCATCAAGCAGCATTGCAGAAAGTTCCTCACTTCTCTATTTTTCGACTATTTTTCGTCCAGTTTTTGAAAACAATAGAAGAAAAAAACACATTGGATCTAGAGTCCAGACTCTTAAAAACATCGACAAGAAAAAATACTCTTGATTCAATCGGATTTCTGCTTAAATCAAAAGGAAATCCGCTCAAATTAAGAGGCTTGGTTCTTGATTTAAGCAAAAATCCAAAAAGTATTTTTTCTTGTCGATGTTTTTAAGAGGCTGGACTCTAGATCCAATGTGTTTTTCTTACAGTGAATCCTCTTACCCGACATTTTCAAGATGATGACCATCATGACTTTTTATGGCTTTTAGCACGTTCACTTGTAAGTCGATCATAGCAACCGGTTTTTTGTACGTCGCGCCAGGTCAAAAACCATCAATGAACGTTGTTTTGAACGGTTGTCGTGTTGCTGCTGTACCATTCAGACGTTGTCTACGCTGCGCTGCCGTCCGAAGGAAGAACGCCGTTGAGCTCCCCGGCTCCCGGCGTTGCCAAATATCTTCCGATAAAATGCGAACTTTCTGGGAAAATTGTGAATGTTTTTCTTCCAATTTTTCAGAGTATTGTATTCATGATTTTTATTTGAAGTGTCTGAAACTATTAAGGTGATATATTCGTCCGTTCTTCATGAAATAAATCTTTTATCAGGAGAAATTTGGAAACGTTTACACGTTTAAACGGTGTTTCTCCTTACCACGCAATCAGCGGGAACGGCGGTTTTGAGCATTCGCAATTCGCCGTTTTTTGGGTGTTCTTTTGACGCGATGAGAACAATTTTGCCAACAAGTTGGATAAAAACGGGTTGATTTTCGAACTGCCGCGATTTTCAAGTGCGCTAAGCCGAACATTTTTCACGAACTTTTTATTCCATCGTCTCCCGGACGAAAGAGCATTTCTCCATTGCGAGGTTGCGAAAATGCCTCGAACAATCCATTATGCCAAGAATATGAAAATGCAATATGTTTCCAAAATGATATATCTCTCTGCTTGTGATTATAAACAAGAGAAATCCTTGACATCCCTGATTAGAAATAGGTTGATTACACAAAATTAGCATGCAAGAGGATTATTATTAATCAATGTGTGTTTACTGACGGGTGCGTTTAGCCTCTAGCCGCTTTGTACTTGAGGAAATTCTACACTGCTGAGTTGAAGCTCTACTTTTTTGGCCTGGAAAACGACTATCCTCCTTCCACGCGACTGACCATGCGACCCGGCGACCGCAGTCGCAACTTATGAATGTCCCCGTTCTAGTCGATAAAAAAAAAGTATCTACGATTTGATTTTTTGGTGCAGGGGTGCAAAATCTGTCCGATCTTGCTGTTCGCAGATGACGTGATCAGTAAATGAATTTCCGAGAAAGTGAGGCAATTCTTGTCAGAAACGGCACCGAAAAGATCTTTGGATGAATTCCAACGATCTACCAATCTTTTCAAACTATCGTACTGGCGAGCAAAATTCAGATCTTCTGAAACATGAGGCGTGTCCTGTGAGGAAGTTTTCACAGTGGAGAAATCAAAAAAATAGGCACAATAATACGATATCAAAAAAAATTAACACAAAAAGGGACGATGAGCAAATTTTTTGGGAAGACTAGAGGAAGGGGGAAAATCCCGGATCGCATGAAACGTTCGGCGGTATGAAACTTTCTATCCCCCTGCAGGGACTAACTCTAATAATACAGTTTCGAAGAGGCAGCTTGTACGGATGGGAAAACAAAAAACTTACCGGCGCCTTTTTTCGACTTCTTCTTCTTCTTCTTTTTGCCGGTTTTCTTGCTGGTTTGTACGACCATATGATGGGTGTTCTTACAGTAAGCTTCCAAGTGCTTCATGAATATATGTGCCGTTTCTACGAGGTCGATGAGGTAAGATCTGAGAAAGAATCAATAAAAAGTCCACGCTTACAAAAAGTGATTTAGCGGGGGAAACTATAATAATAATAATTAAAAAAAAAACTCGAGGTTCTGGAAACAAATTTGGAGTAATTTGCAGCTCTTATCTACGAAGACAGAGAAAGACTTTCGGGTTATTTTATGGTAGCTCAGTGATTTTTTTCGTATTCTGGTAAACTTGCGAAATTCTCGGTATGTTTTAAAACTGTGTATTCTCATCCAAAAAAATATATTAAAAAATTGAATAAATGATAACGGCCTATTCTGAAGCCCGACAAACTGGAGTAGCGAAAGAGGTCAGGACTAACGAAAAACACATGTTGAAATCATAAGATACACGAGGAATAGAAAAACAAACCTGGTGAACTTTAAAGGTGTGAATTTTGTGAAAAGGACGAAAATCAAATCTCTGTAATCGGAGACGTAGAATAGGTTGCTTTTGATCGATTTCGCCGAGGCTCTCACACCCTCGTCAGAGCTGCGATCCATTTCAGCCAAAGTCATCAGCAATTCCTGTACGGAGAAGAGAAAAGTAGAAGAAAAAATTAATGGTTCACGCAAGCAGGTAAAATCTAGAGAGGTACAACGCAACTTTAACCCCAAGAAGTTCAGTAACGACAGTTTCAGAAGTAAAAACAACTGAAATCGTCGAATTTATTGAGGAAAACAAACGAAACTTTTAGGAAGGTCCTGGATGTGTATTTAAGAACTAGTCCAAAAATTATTAAAATCACGAAGCTCAGAAATAAAAATTCCAGGGAAAAAAAATTGAATTCAGCTGATTCACATGGCCCATCCCTGAATAACGGCACTACATAACGATGTCATTGCTACAATCGAAAAAATAAGTTGTGGCTCTGTTACCTTATAGGCCTTCAATGCTAGATGCATTCGTTTCGACCACACGGGAATCTTCTTCTTGTCTGTGATCATCATTTCCATCCAGGTTTCCAGCTGGCTCTGAACGAAATGGAAGATATGCACTGACAGAGTTTCACTGAAACATCAGAGAAAAACGTGATCAAACTTAGCTCGGCGGGAATAATATACTGTTGCAGTTTTTCGGAAGGTGTGTCACCGATAACGCTAAGAGCCTTTTCGCTATCCTCTGAAAAGAAAGTTAGACTGTGTTCGCACTTCAGCAAGGGCTTCATGCGTTCCGCAATGTTAACGACAAAGAACTCATATATACAAGACATGTTTACTGTCTATTTGTGACGCATGAAAAATGCAAAAATTGAAAGGTAAAGAAGAAAAAGAAAACACTGTTTGTGATGCTTCTTTTGATGGTATCAGCTTGCTGCGTGCAGTAAAATGAGTAAACTAACAATGTGTTGCGTTCAGTTAGGTCACGCGGCTAAACTAACCTCCCGCGGAGAAACGAGAAGTATAGCCAGATTTAAAGGCGTTCAAAGCGTTTGGTTGGGTCACGCAACTAAACTAACTTCCTGGCAAAGCGGGAGGTATCGCCACATTTGAAGGCGTTCTAAGCGTTCGGTTGGGTCACGCAACTAAACTAACCTCCCGGCAAAGCGGAGGGTATCGCCAGATTTGAAGGCGTTCTAAGCGTTCGGTTGGGTCACGCAACTATACTAACCTCTCGGCAAAGCGGGAAGTATCGCCAGATTAGAAGGCGTTCTAAGCGTTCGGTTGGGTCACGCAACTAAACTAACCTCTCGGCAAAGCGGAAAGTATCGCCAGATTTGAAGGTGTTCTGAGCGTTCAGTTAGGTCATGCAATTAAACTACCCTCCCGATAAAGCGGGATGTATAGCCAGTATTTGAAGACGCTCCCGGCGTTCACAAACTAACAGTTCAGTAAGCGTTCACTAAAACTTGCCAGGTTCCAAAAGATTTTCAGGCAGAACTAACATTTATTTCAGTCATATAAGATTAAGCAGACGACTGCGATGTGAGCCTTATAAATGCATTATATCTTTTGCACCAAGGAACTAAAAGTTCTGGCTCATCCAAAAAAAGCACCTATCTGCACCTATCTATCCCCTCTGCGAGAGACTAATCATAGGCGTAGCTAGGTCATTTTGCTGGGGGGGGGGGCTGGCCCCCCACCACCGGGGGGTCTGGCCCCCCACCACCGGGGGGTCTGGGGTATGGAATATCCACCAGCTCAATGGGGGGTCCGGGGGGCCTCTCCCGGAAAATTTTTGAAATTTTACCTCTATTTGAGCGCATTTCGAGGCACTTGTGGCGTTAATCTTCCTTCAATTTCTGCCTAAAAATCCAGTTTTATGCATTTTAAGGTTAAAATACTTTGAAATTGTAGCATTCAACAGGTTATTATATTTATAGGCATCCTCTCACGGGCCACGGCGACAGAGACTTACCGTTGAAGAGGGTGTTTTTGCACCATCCAGAATTTCTGGGGGGGCCAGATGATACTATTTCCAATTCTGGGGGGCAGGCCCCCCCTGTCCCCCCCTTCCTACGCCTCTGCACGCTACCCTGAGGAGTACCTCTACACCAAGACAAACTCTCTAATTCTATGCAAAGATAGGGAGCAAATAAATTCGCAGGGTTGCCGTGTTTTCAGTTTTAGAGTCCCCAAATAAAGTGGCAGCCCTGTCAATGTATTTGCTCCCTATCTTTGCATGGAGAGTTTGTCTTGATGTAAAGATGGACTCTCAGGATAGCGTGGGACATTCCCTCCATTTTGGCCTCAACTTGAGAGCTTTTTTCGAGCTTGGGAGTTGATTTCAGAGAAAACCAGGGGCGCTATCGTGTTTCTCGCGAACTTTAATAAGAATCAATAGTCAAATCGCAAATTCCTCACACATGCAACATCTCCATTGCCCCGGCTGAAATGAACACCTCGTTTGGCAACGCATACCGTTAAACGGCGAACTAGTGTGTGCCTACTTTTACATATTCTGCAGTCCTGGTTTATGAATCCTGGTTTTCCAAAAAACCGCGTTTACAGTTCTGCCATATCAAAAGATAGTGAGCCCCGATACTTGGAGCAACTGTTGCAAATGAATGCATTCACTGATGAATGATACCTGAAGTGAAGAAAACATCTTACGCACATCAAAAGTCATCGTTATTTCGTGCTGATCTACAAGTTTCCTCCATAAAAAGACGGATCCATGGCAGGTGCAACCGAAGCGTTTGACCAAAAACAAGGCCAAATCAGAGGCACGCATCCGGGATTCAGCAAAAAGGATGACGAGCCGTGACAAGGAGCAAGACAAAACAGCGGCCGTGGCTTCCGCGTGGGAGGGAGACCCGAGGGGGGAGAGAGGGGAAGGAGAGGGGGGAGGTTAGCGTCGACAAGGGGGCTACAAAGAAGATAAGGTCGAAGACAAACCCCGGCGCGGGCGGGCGACGGCGGCGGGGGCAAAAGAGTGCTTTGTTGATTAATTGACTGTTATTAACTTCGCAGCGCGCAACATCAAACTTATCTAAACATTTGCACCCCAAATTACATTTCCTGCCTTGATAACCCTTTCTGCACTTGGGCGTATGATGAATTGCAGGGCAACTTGGCGCGCGTAAAACTTCTCGGCTGTTCATCACGACGAAACCCCAATTAAATATCGCCTCCCTTCCGCGGCCCCCACCGATCTGCTTTTCGGGGGTCGAGCAAGGTGGAAGGCATACGTAAGGCGGGCCCCCCTCCCCCTTACCTGTGCCACTGAACCCCTTGTTCATACGACCGTCCACGAGGAGAGAGACTTCAGTCCACGAAAACTCAAAACTCAGTTGTCGATACAAGGGGTGCAGAAACTTCCCAACCACGCAACCGACCGTTCGCGTGAAAAGGGGAAATGGATTCCCATGTGAGGACGAGAAAAATGGAGGAACCCATGTGAGGACGAAAAAATTGGGGGATTTGTCGTACGAAAACTTCGCACTCATGAAGTTGCGACAAATATTGACTACGCAGCATTCAATCGCAGTACCAAGTAAGCCAGAATAAGGGTCCTTGTAGAGCTCTAGGGCCAACTGAGAACGGAAGAAATGAACGCAAATTGCGTGATATTTTGTTCTTCACTCGATTTTTCGTGTTTGTTTGTTAATTTAATCTAAGTAATCAGTTTGTCTTAATTGGACTACATTTTGCAGTTAAGAACTACGATATCTAGCTCAGTTTAGAAACAACATACGTACCATTGGCTTCTCTATGCACATACATGTTTTTACAGATGAGCTAGAAATTGTAGCTCCTAATAGCAAAATGTAGTCCGATTATTACTATAATTCCGTAACCACTCTATTTTTACCACTTTATCTTCCTGCTTAAACTTGTAGCAGGAACGCAAGAGCCCCGCCCCATGAAGGTAGAAGCTGCAAAAAATCGCAGTTTCCTTCCTGCGATGCGACCCTCCGACAAATCTCATGAAAACTTCCCTTGGAGACAGGACCTCAGTTCAGGGCCGGATTTAACTACTTGCCGCCCATGGGTCGCCTGTATTTTGCCGCCCCCTTCTCATTCGTTTTGAAACATCAATGAAAACCATCAAGTGAACGTGCCGGAGGGGGAGGGGTGCAAAAGACGCGTTTACTCGTGTTGGACACATTTTTTTGCGAAAGCCCTGTCAACACTACTAGCAAAAGTTCACGGAACTTTGTGCGAAAGTCAAGTTCCGTAAACCTATCTCTGTGTGGACAAGGCCTTCCATTTATAAGGAATGAACGAAAAAATTATGAAAGAACAAACATAAATGTGATTTAATAATTTTAACTTCCGCCGCCGCGCCGCGCCGAGCTGACCGCACTGTGTTTGACGCAATGTGTAAAGTATTCACGTAGTCTTGTAGGCGCTATGCGTTTCACGCTGACCGCACTGTGTTTGACGCAATGCGTGAAGTATTCATGCAGTCTTGTAGGCGCTAATATGTGATACGTGCCGACCGCCGCGCCGAGGGCTGTTCCTTTTCATCTCAAGTCCACGTTATCATTGCTCTCTGCGCCGCGCCGCGTCACTCCAGGCGTAATGGAGATGTTACATGTGTGAGGAATTTGCGATTTGACTGTTGATTCTTATGCAAAAGTTCACGAGAAACACGATGGTGCCACTGGTTTTCTCTGAAATCAACTCCAAAGCTCAAAAAAAGCTCTCAAGTTGAGGCCAAAATGGAGGGGATACCCTACGCTATCCTAAGAGTCCACCTCTACATCAAGACGAACTCTCCATGCAAGGATAGGGAGCAAATACATTGACAGGGCTGCCACTTTATTTGGGGACTCCAAAACTGAAAACACGGCAACCCTGCAAATGTATTTGTTCCCTATCTTTGCATGGAGAGTTTGTCTTGATGTAGAAGTGGACTCTCAGGATAGCATGGGATATCCCTTCCATTTTGGAGCTTCCCTGAGAGCTTTTTTTGAGCTTGGGAGTTGATATCAGAAAAAAACCAGTGGTACCATCATGTTTCTCCCAAACTTTTAAATAAGAATCAACAGTCAAATCGCAAATTCCTCACACATCCATCATTTCCATTGCGTATTTGGTTCCTCTCTTAACTCGACTAATTAAATGTGCTATCTTTTGTATCACCGAAAGATGATAAAATTAGAAATTATTGTACTCTCAGGAAATGAGATATTTTGTCGCTTTTTCTTGTTTGTAAATTTTTTTCTGAATCCGATTCTTCATACCTATATTTAAAAAAATTGCAAAATTTGCTGCCATGGACCGCGGCCCATGTGGCCACCTCCTAAATCCGTCCCTGCCTCAGTTTTGAGAAAAATTCGTTTAAACTTTTGATGTGCCAAATTCAGGAAATAAGCGTGCCGGATTAAACTGCAACTGTACACCCTCTTTTGTCACAAGAATGAACTAAATCATACGTGACTCATTCTTTGGGACCCTATAAGGAGGATTTTTGGTTGAAATCTCACAATCCGATTTTTCGATCCAGCATGACGGAAATTGTTTCGCAGAAAAGTTTGTTTTCATGATGCAAGGTGCTGTACTTTAACTTTTGAGCATCGGAGCTTTGGGAGATAAAAAGAAGAGTGAGCTCTTCCTACCAAATGTTAGGAAGGAAAAACCAAGGGATGATGCACGGGAGGAGTTAGGCGAAAGTATCGTCATAGGGAAGTTCTTGCATTCAGCTGGGTTTTCGATTCACCCGTCCGCCGAAAAGGTAATTTCCTCAGAAACACAATAAAGCCCCTGGTTTTCTCTAATATCAAGAGCTTGAATAGAGCTCTGAAAGTTGAGGCATTGGTTGAGGAGACAGCCTGCGCTTGTAAGACACTCTGTACACGCCACAGAGGACAGAGGGGTGGGAAGATTCTGAGGGTGACAGTGTGCAGAGATGTAGCAGTTGTATGGCAGTTGGGCAATGACAGAGTCCTTCTTTGCCACTTGGACCTTCGTCTCCCTTTCTTTCCCTAAAAAATTCTCTGATTTTCTTGGGAATTATTAATTCCCTGATTTCCCAGTTTTTCCATGTCCTATTCAACATCCCTTTGATGGACATATAGTGTGTTGTTGGGAACCAAACAGGGCTAAAAACTAAAAAAACAATATTTTGTCCCAATTAAAGAGACAATGGAGAAATTTACATTTTGTAGGAGCTGTCAAGCCATATACTGAGAACTGGTAAAATACCTGCTCCTCTCGGAGGTAAATTTGAAAATTGGATCCGTCATTAAAATAAATACAATTTACATCACACTAAGGTTGCAAAGAAAAAATTAAAAAGAAAATAAAAGAGGAAACTTACCTGACTAATTTGACTTGGAATTTGTAGAGACGATTGAACTCCATGAAAAATGCTAGAGCCCAAAAATAGTAGGACTCATCATTGGGCTGCGCCTTACCTCTTGAAATTTTTTCCTGTAATTATTTTAAAACGAACCAGATTAGGAGATAAAAAATAAAAGAACAAACAAAAAAAAAAACAGCAGAATCGAGGGAATTTTAAGTTTTTATTAAACTAGCAATAAGTTTTAGGGGCCATTCATAAAATACACAATGTTTTGGGGGGAAGGGGGCTACGGAGGTTTAGTCAAGTTTTACGCCATTTTGTTTTCAAATGATAAGAGTTATGGACCTAGTCATCACAAAAATTGTGCCACAGGGCGTCGAAAAATCCGAGATTTAGCATTACATATTTTATAGATGTCCTTAAAGATGGCATAAGAGATCAAATATTTAAAATGCATGATGACTTCGAAAAAATGGATTTTGAAAACCAACTTGAAAAGTAATTAGCATCGAAGGATTTCTTTTTGATTCAGCTTTTTTGAGAATTCGACTAAGTTTGTGGAGAGATTTACGTAGTTTACACAAATGCTCATGTATTTCCTCTCTCTCTCCTTTTCAAATCCTTCAAAGATACTCTAGCATTCAAAACTTAAATGCCACATGAAAGCACTTAATTGCCTCTTAATAATGATGGCTCATTGCACTTTGTAGACCTATGATAAGAAAAGCTTTGATACTTTCAGTTCCCGAACTCTTCAAATCAAAACTTCTTATCCTAGTTGTATATAGAGATCAACTGGACTTATTTCAATGACTTTTTGGGTTATTGACTAGTGATGTTTTCTAAACGAGTTGAGGCATTGGATGCGAGAAGAGCACTCCTCGATTGCGGTGTTTCGGAATCTCAGTCGCTAATTAATCTCTTGGAGAAGAATTTAATGGGTGATTTTTCCAGAATTCTTTCCGTAGGAAACTGTAGAATCATAAGGAATATTCAGTAAAATTTTTAGTGAAATGGATGCATTCACTTTCCTGACAATGAATGAAACATCAGAGGAAACTCTGCAACACTGCGACCGAGAGGTGCCCTTTTTGCATCAGTGCCTCAGTTCATTTTTGAAATTTTCGATTTAAGACACAGATTTTTCTGGCGATCAAACAGTTCTCTGAGATCGTGAAGCATGCATTAATTGTTGGGTCCCATAGCTGCACGGAAAAAAATTAAATTGCTGATTCAACAATTCAATTGCTAAAAACAGTGAGTGCAATGTTTCAATGTAGATTTTACAACAAAAAAATGCTACTTTAACCACCCCCGTGGTTAATTTAGTTTACAATGTGGTTAGAGTAGCATTTTTTTGTTGTAAAATCTACGTTGAAACATTTGAACAATTGAATTGTTGAATCAGCAATTTATTTCTTTCCGTGTGCAGGGGAGGGGCCCCTTCTCAGGCTCAAAGAAATAAAACAATTAGGACAGATTAGTCAAAAGCGGCACATAACTCTATTGACATTGTGAATGTTCACATCATCTTTGCTGATAGACTTTGAAAATAATACTAAACCAAGTCAAAATACGGAACTTACTCGAACAGCAAACATGAATGGATTGTAGGCGCCGTTCAGAAATTCGACACAAAACTCTTTTAAAAATAGACGAATACTATACGCCGACTTTCTGACTTCTTGGGTGTCTTGCATCGGCAATCGATTTTTGGGCGTTTTCGGTTGAACCTGGGAACGTACAAGAATAGTAAAATTTAAGAATGAGTCACAATCCTATACGAAAACCTAAAAATGAAAAATGTTAGAAAAACTTCCAATGCATGTTGCTAAAACTTTCTTCATATAATATTAGAGCTTGTACGTTGTTCATTCATGAGCATAAAATCCTTATTTCTGACCATTATTTTCTGATAAGACTTCTTGTGAATTCTAGTTGAAACACCTCATGCAAATGCAGTGCTCTTTCCGTACTTTTTCACTTAATTTCAAGTCTTGGCCAAAAAAATAAGTGGATTTTGAGTAACACACTGCGGATATTCAATTTTCAAGATTCGTTTTACAAGTAAGTAAAAGCTATATGTCTTCAAAGGGTTGAAATGAAACAGAATATCAACTCGAATTTTCGTCTGATGGACATAAAAATTCTGACAAATAAAATTCCTAAAAATAACAGCGAACTTGAGTGATTTTTACCTTATGTTGATCAAAAGTCAACTGGGTGATTTCTTTAGGAGCCTTGTGTACGACCATATCTCGATCTCCGATTGATTTGATTCCTTTAACGACAAAAGTCCCTCCAAATCTTGAATGCCTGAAGAAATGGAAAGATATTAGATCATTAAAAATTGGGAACTCAAGTTTTAAAATTTATAAAGATAATTTTTTAGACATTTTGCTGTAAAAAAGGAAAAGCTAAGACGATTCTAGGTGATGTCTCTAATGTAAGATACTAAAACACAAATCTAACCTGAAAATCTAACGTTTAAAAATAATAATATCTCTTTCCTTCCCAGTGTTCTTACTATAAATGAATCAGTGAGAACAAAAACACACCAACTCGAAAAAATGAATATAATGAAGACAGACACGAAACTGCACAGTAGGTGAAGAAGTTAGTCCAAGAAAGACTTTCAGTGCCGAAAGACAAGTACTTCAGGAAACGTTAAAGGTCCAAGTTGGAACAAATGCACTAATTTCAAACCTTTTATAAAAATTGAATGTCTTCAATGGAAATTGAGCATTTTCGAGTTACGGAGTTGGTGTGTTTTCGTCCTCACTGATTCAAATAGAGAACAATTGAGTTACCTTCCTGACAGCTTATGATGGATGTTTAAGACTGGTTGGCTCATTTTCTTGGTCAAAATTTTTACCTCCCTTCATTCACTTTTGTTTCAATACTGATGCATCTGATAAATTATTTTCATTTTACAATTTCTATTGAATTTTCTGTATATTTTCGTTTTTGCTGGCTACCCAAGATCTCATGAAACTTTTTCATTAAATCTTTCTTAGAGAACCCCCCCCCTAAAAAAAAAAAAAAAAAAAAAAAAAAAAAAAAAATTACACATTCAGGGACGCAACTTTGCGGTAACCTCACCTGGCTCCAGCGTATTTTCGCATTTTTTCGGCTTTCTCTTCAATTTCTTTTTGTCTAACAACTAGCAAGGCAGCATTATCCTTCACTTTCTCTTCCGCACTTCTACTGGCAGACACATTTGCTAAAAATTCTGGCGTTTGCTCTCTCAGTATCAAGGAAATAATCTGAAACCAAAGGTAAGTTCTAATTAATCTGATTTATATGAGAATAAATAGATGATACTTTATAATGATCTAAAACAATGAAAACCGTTTTCAAAATTTGGGAAAAAGATCCTCAAAAATAAAGGTGTCATTGTAATAGTAACGACCTGTTTTTACAATTCACTGAACAAGTCTATCTAAAATTAACTTGCTTCTTTCATCAATCTGTAAAATGTACTTTTCAGCACCATGTCCTATAAATTTTACACTTCACGGTGAATCTTAATAATATCATCTCCTGCAAAAGTTGAAGAATATGTTGTAACAAATCAATTTTTGAAACATCATGACTCACTGAGTTATCATGAGTTCCTTGTCTACTTTTTGAAGAATTCACTCTGGGAGATATTTAGGAGCCAAAAACTCCTAATATTCTACAGGAATTTTCAATTTTTTATTTACAAATCCTCAATAAACTTCTACTTTTACCAATATTAAAAGATAGTGGTAAAAAGACTTCTAAGTGATGGTAAAATTTATCACGACAAAAAATTCAGGTTATTTCAATCCAATTTCTTTCATTTCTTCAACAACTTTCTAATTAGTGCATAACTTCCTATTGCTATCCTGATTGGCCGTTATTTCTTTGTTCTGGTGCATTCACATTTTTCTCCACAATTTCTAATTTTTGAGGATTTTTTATCCTAATTCCCTTGACGAAATTTTAAACTATATTGAATTTTCAACGCAACATGAATGAAATGAATGTGTTGACAATCTGATTTCCAGAAAAGGAAATAAGATCAAGGGCTTAAAGAAAGTATGTCGACAGTGTAAGTCGGCAATCACATAACTCCGTTTGCGACGTCGCAGACTTCCTGTCATACTTTTTTTTTAAACGGAAAATTACTCAACGGCAATTCTTTAAAACTTCCGTGATTTTTCTTCTCTGTGCGAAGAAAATTCTGCAAACACTTCAAGGAATGATGTCAATTAGTTCTCTTTTAAAAAATTAACATAGAGGCGGAGATTTTCAGACACCGCAAACGAGTTATGTGATTGCCGACTTACACCATCGATATGCTAATAGCCTAATTAAAAGTGGTTCATTCTTTATGGCTCTAACTCCATCCACTCAAGGATTTCTTGGTAAAAAATATGATGCAATCTTACCTCCAAAATATGTAAATAATACTGGGTTTCATTTTCTGAACTTGCAAGGTACACAAAAAGATCTATGAGGCCTGAAGTGTGCATTGCCCACAGCACCTGAAAGAACATACAACGATTAAAAATACTTTTCATTACATCCTGTTTATTATTCAAAGAAAGTCTGCTTGTTTTGTATTTTCAGGATTGCCACAGAATTTAAAAAATGAATTTTTCTGATATTTTTCTAACACATTTTGATAAAATTTCTTGCCAATTGAAAATATGCCAGATAGTTTATAAATAATGTAATGAAATAAATAAATGTAATAAAAAATTGCTTTGTTTGAGATGCTTCTTTACCTCTTCCATTTATTCTTTATCTCCTCCTCTCTTTTCCCCTTTCTCCATTTCTTTGGCCTGCGACTCAATTATTGAAACAATGCTAGCTTGGCAAGACAAGACACAGCCGTATCTTAACCGTGCAATACATAACATTTCGTTGCCTTATTGGGCTGCTTTAGACTTTTAATAATTGACCCGCTGAGAGAGGAGGGAGCCGTGTCTTTGTGGCCCCCGCTTTGGGTCTGTCACTGAAACTGATTTCTATCATGATTAGAAATTCATCTCATTTTCTAGGAAAACATGGAAACAAAATACCTGATCATGAATGCTAGCATCACTGTCCGGTCGTTTTTCTTCATTCGAATTAGCAGGAACGTGCAGAACGTTTCGTGCCAAGATTAAAATCCTCTCGATAATGAAGCCTTTCTCCTCACCTCGATCTGCCCATTCCTGAGGAGAAAAAAAGACTTGTTAATAGATATTAAAATATAAATTTGAGGTTGAAAAAGTGAAGTGTTTCTTTTGAATTACTTAACACATTGCAAACAGCAGCATTTTTCTGTGTGATACAACAGCCCTGCGAATCATCAAAATTTTGGCAATCTTCACAAATATTCTGGCTGGCTGAGAAAGCGCATAAGAAATCAGGCTTTTGATTTTCAGAGAACATTTTTGTGATACATTAAAAACAAATAAAAATGATTTTGCTGATGCGTTTTTCGTACTTCAGAAGAGTAAACATAAATGTCAAAAATCATGTTTTTTCATCAACTTTTCAGAGATGTTCACTCCTCCACCAAAACTTGTGGTCGAAAACCCCCCATTTAAAAGATCGGTGATCACATCATCAAGTTATTTAAGTCCAACACAGTACGCACTATACTAAGTAAAAAGGAAAAAGAGAGTATGATTAAAAAGTACTTACTAGTTTTAAGATGGTGCCCATTTTATCAGCCAAAACTTTCCATATCTTTTCATCTGCAAAAGCTGCTTTGGCACTTTGCAGTTGTGAGAGAAGCTGAAGGTAGTAATTTCTTGAAACTTTTTCAGATGGCAATTCTTCTTTATATAAGAGTATAACTGGGCTCATTAAGTTGATTAGAAGACTGAAACAAACATTAAAAATAACTCTTAATTAGAGAGATTAGTTTATAAATGCTTCTTAACATGTTCACATGTTCACATGCTCATGTATCAGGCTTTCAAGGCTGTAAGTGGGTGGATCTGTGATCTCTGGAGACTAACATTTTCACCACATTGTTAGACTTCTGATCTACACATGTTTTTTAGTTGCAGAAGGAGCATGACATCTTACAAACAAAATTATGACTAAAAATCTCTTAGAGCCTGGTTTACGAGTTTTTTTTAAACTCATCACTAAAGTTCACCGCTTTTATAAGTAATTCCCTTGTGTAGAAGGAAAAACTACTTGGTAAACTATCGGCTTTAGGATGTCCGACGAACGGTAATGAAATTTTTAATTAAAAGGTAAGTAGGTAATGCCAATAAAAGTAAACGTTGGCAGTTCACCTGTCAATGTTACATAATTAAATTATCTTCATACATTCTTTGTTTCCAGAACATTGACCAAGATACAGAGTAACTCCAGGGTGTCTAGTAAAACAGGCTGGCCAAAAATCAGTGCTTTTACAGTACTTTTTCAGTACATTTCTAAAAAATTCAGTACTTCCTCAACAAAAAAAATCAGTGCTTTTTCAGTACCTTCATTTGACGAAATTCGAAAAATTTCAAAATTTTTAATTTCTTGCTCCAATTGCGATAAAAATGACATAAAAATGAAAATAATTCCGGACCTTCTTGCGAAATTTCTGCACTTTTTCAGTACTTCCGGACCGCCCTTAAAAAATCAATACTAATTCCTGACTTTCCAGAAATTCCTGACTTGTACACACCCTGAACTCAGAGACACAGTCCTCTAGAATAAGTGTTTTTTGGAATCTTTTTCATGGCTTAAGAAGTAAATCATTCATCTTAAAACTATTTGAACTAAACTACCAATTGTGCCAGGGCGGAGAAAACCTGAAAAAGGCTTCCTTGCGACATAATGTTACAGGAGTACGAGAAAATTACTCACCGAAGATTAAGGTCAAACAGTTCTTCATTGGAGGAATGCTGGCAAAGGATGGGAATCAAGTCCTTCTCTAAAACTTTGGAAGAGCCCAGCTGTCTCCTGATTTCATGATTTTCAGAGTCACGTCGAAGATATCGAATGAGATCTCTGATGGATTCTGAATTTTAAAAAAGACAAGGTTCATTCAAAGAAAAAAAAATAAATTCATTCAGCTAAGAAAAATTTTAGGGGTAAAAGATCATTTTTAAAAAGTTCTGTGCAAAAGGAAATCGAAAACAGAAGATAGCAGATGTGTAGGTGTAATGTTCTTAACAACCTCCTGAGTGAGCATAATTAACTTTAAAAATCAATCTTCCTATCTGCCAATTGTGAGGAAAGCAGAACAGAAAAGTAAATTTTTCAATATTTTCAATTTTTCAAATTTTTCAATACAGATAAAATGTCTTAATATTTGACGACAGGTGTAAAAACTAGACCATCTCGTAAATTACTTCCAAGTACTTTTTGATTCATTCTCTTCTTAATAATATTATAATCAGAGAGGTAATTTTCGTGGACATAACTGCAGAACTTACCTTTACAATATGGATCTAAGTTGTAAATAATCTCATCGTTGAACCCAAGGGCGTTGCACGTAGCAGTTACCTCTGCCGAAATAAGAGATGACATTGCTCTAGATTCAATATGCTAGGCAATGCTTGTAATCTAAAAAGAAACAGAGAACAGTGGAGAGAAATTAAAATATTTGTCCTAAAAGAACTATGGTTGCATAAGAAATTTCACCTTTAAACATATTTTTTTATTTTGAAGAAAGCACACAAACACAAGGTGATCTGAGAGATATCAATGGCAAATCAGCAAAACCATACATCTCTGTTTGCGACATTTCAGGCTTTCTGTTATTTTTTTATTTTGAAGAAAGCACACAAACACAAGGTGATCTGAGAGATATCAATGGCAAATCAGCAAAACCATACATCTCTGTTTGCGACATTTCAGGCTTTCAGTTATACTTTATTGTTTTTTTTGGAAAACTGATCGATGTGATTTCTTGCAAACTTCCCCCTTGGGTCATTCAATGCCAACTGGTGCCACTTTGAAAATGTGATCCCCTTGGAATTTGATTAAATTTGGCATACTTGATGTCCATGCATAGCTTAGTGAAAATCCAAAATTTTAAGTTGATTTGACCACCCGCTGGGCTTTTATTTAGACACTAAAAGTTTGCGAAAGTTGGCTCTTTGGAGAGATGCCACCACTTTATTGAAGTAGAACTTCAGAATGGTTCGTCCAAAATCAACCATTCTGGTGTTATTAGAAAACCCTGAGAAAGAGCTTTTTGCACATGTATAACAAAATTGGGCTTAATTCAAAATGCTTTTCTGGCGCAAATTTTAATTTTCAAAACAACATAACTCTAAATCAGACCTTTCAATTTCTCTGAAAATTTCACATGATGTTGATGACACCCTCAACTATAGGTATGCAAAATTTCAGAGTCGAGACTTGGTGGAGCCAAAAGTTGTGAGAGGAAAAGTTCGGGGATGCGAATCTGTGCTGATGCTTAAGCAATCTCCAGTCCCGAGTTCCAGGAATCATCTCCGAATAGGGCTGAGTGACACGGGCACAATAGATTCGAATGGCGCAATTTGCTGTCTCCGCCTGAATTCAGGGATGATTCCCAAAACTCGCGACTAGAGACTACGTAAGCTGCAGCACAGTGTCGCATCTCCGAACTTTTCCTCCAGTAACTTTTGACTCCACTAAGTCTCCACTCTGGAATTAGGCATACACATGGTCAAAGGTGTCATCAACATATCGTGAAATTTTTAGAAAAATCGAAATGTCTGATTTCGAGCTCTATTGTTTTGAAAATTACAATTTGTGCCGGAAACAAATTTTGAGTTAGGCCCAATTTTGGTTATACATGTGCAAAAAGCTCTTCCTTAGGGCTTTCCAACGACACCAGATGATAAACCGTTCTGAAGTTACACATCAATAAAGTGGTGGCATCCCTCCAAAGAGGCCAACTTTCGCGAACTATCAGTGTCTGATAAAAGCTCAACAGGTGGTCAAATCAACTTGAAATTTTGATTTTTCACTAAGCTATGCGTGTATACCAAGTAAGCCAAATTTCAGTAAATTCTGAGGGGGTTGCTTCTTCAAAGTGCCACCAGTTGGCATGGAATGACCCTCTTGATTTTACTGGTCCATCATCGGGAAGCAAAAGAGCGAATTTGGTCCAGCTCCAGTGATATTGACTTTAATTGAATAAGGTTAGACAACTAACATTTGATGAGGAGTGATCATTGTCTTAGTTGAAACGAATGCTGTAATGTCTTAAAATACGTACCTTAATTTCTATAGTTACTTGATGTCTGAGCTGCTCCGCGCCCTCATCATGTTGAAATCAGACTTGTGCAGGGTGAAAATGATTTTCACATCAATCTAACACTAAACACGCGTACGCTCTGAACTTGAATTAATATGAAAACTGTAGAAAATTGTGCGATTGATCGCAAAGTTATTTTAAAAGGCTGATTAAAAGTAAAAGCATGTGGTCAGCATCCATTATCACTGATTCATTCACTTGTTGTTTACAAAAAAAAAACAAAGAACAGCTGTTTTTTTCATAAAAGGCGGGAAAAAGACCCGGTCGAAGTTTCTCAGTTTCGCCGTAAGAAGGCGCATGAAGAACCGCCAAATACGAATTTGTGCTCTCTCCGTGGAGACCCTTGTACATCCGTATCTCACGCAGGAGGCCTTTTCGGCATTTTTATTCTTTAATTTCACAAACCAAAAAAAAAAAAAAAATTGGGTTAGTCCTAGATGAATCGTCGTAATAAATATTCCAACCATACATCGTGTAAAAAATGGTAATGACTCAATTATGCATCAACGAAAATGTCATAAATCCGCCAGATCATATAATTCTAGTATCAAAGGTCATTATGTATAAGGAACATTATAATACTGGGAGAGAAAATGTTCATATTTTGAGATTTCGTAACGTTGATTAAGGGTGAAAAATGGAAATAAAATGATTATTTTGATTTCATTCATTTAAATGGGAGAGAGAGGTTTTCTTGATTTTTTGTAATTTACTTCTATTTTTCTTCTTTTTTTGCGACTTCTTGTCTCACTGCTTTGTATCTAGAAGCTTTCTACCTGACTTTTAACAAATTTGATTTGAAATTATGTGGTACATGGTTTCATTCCTGTTTTTCACTGTCCGAATTTAGTCTTTAATGGTTGACGGATATCCTGCCATATGTACCTGTGTTGGAGTCACTATTATGTATGAAACAAAAAATAACACTATGACAAGGTATTGCCATTAATTTTCAGTTGTAAAAGAGCAGAATTGCACATCTTGGTTAGGGATGCTGCAGATTTCCTGTCATACTTATTTTCCCACATGGAAAATTACTTGACATCATTTTGTAAAAACTTTGGTGATTTTTCTTCTCTATGTAAAGAATATTCTGCGAAAATTTCAAGCCGAGGTTTGGCCTCTTTTGAAAAATTAAATAGGAACAGAGATTTTGAAACACCGCAACCAAGAAACATTTCTGCAGTTTCACTGTTGTTTTTCAAAGCTTTGATGAAATTCTTATGCCTCCAAATACGTAATATCACAGAGGAATAGGTCATTGATAAAAAAAGGAATTTTTGCAAAAGACAAAGAACGGAACAGAAATTAGAAATAGGAAGGAGGAAATAATTCAAAACAACATAATACTTTTGAAAAAGGGAGCTAGTAAAAAATTTAATAATTCATACGGTTTAAGATAGATATTAAATTACACATGTACTAAGTGTAAACTGGGTTCGGTTTAGAATGCTACCTAAAACTTTTGATGAAATTAAAATTTTTATACACTTGAAGGAAAAAATAAGATGCCGATAAAAATAATAATAAATAAAAATAGACATTAAATATTTATGATACAAAATCTAACAAAATGAAAATAAGTGACAACAATCTCAAGAGCAGTAATAATAATTTAGCAGTTAAAAATATTCATGACAAAGATCACGAGTTGTTTCTCAGCCATTGTTTGCATAGCTTATCTCTACAGCTGTAGATGTGAAAAACGAATTAAAAAAATATGTGAAAATTTATGCAAATTGATCGATTTCTGTCGTGGCATCATCTCCAATCATCACTAGCAAAGCAGAAGTGAAATCAATAACTTCCACTTTGACTAAAATCCACTTGCATTGAATTTTCTGCCTTCCAACACATGGCTCCAGAGGAAGACATAATTATTACTAAATAAGAATGCTTAATATTGTCATTTCATCAATGGATTCTAACCAAGGTACAAATTTAAGCATTAGTATATGTTTTTTCATGAAAATTTCACGTAGAACATACGAAAATGACTGAAATTGACTCCTGACCAAAATATCAGCATTTTTATTAGACACTGAATATGAAATATTTGAAGTTTTCGCTTGCAAGAAGAACCAGAGTCTACATGAATCAAATCGCACACTACAACAGTTTTAGCACCACTCAGTGTTACTCATAGTGTACACAATATGCAACAGCTGAGCTGAAGTGCTGGGATGAAGGTTGATACTTATTCATACCACACAAACTGTTGCAGTGACGTTCAGTGTGCGATTAAACTCTAGTAGACTTTAGTTTTCTTGTGGACTGGAAGTTTTCATTTGGGCCTGAAAAAACGTCTATGTCTTAGTTTGGGGTTACTTTCATCATTTTTGTTGCAAAAATCGTGGTCTAAATGAAATTTTGATTAAAAACATAATAGCAAATATTTAAATTGGCACGTTGTCTGGTGGTCCATTAATAGAATGTGTTTAGACTATTATGAAACTCTTTTGAAACAGTAGCTTGATCTGTATTCAGGCTGACGTTGCAGGAGGAGAAAATCATCTCAACTAATTGTAAGTAGGTGGTAGGAGGGTTCACTAAAAAAAAAGTCTGATCGACAATTAGAAGCTTAACTCACACCAAAAAAGGGACAACTTTTTTTTACAAAATAGCTGAAAGCAAAAACATACTAATTCCTGTGATAATTAGTAATTGTGAAATGAAGTGAGTCCAGGCAATATGTAGAAATCCTAACCGAAAAACTTTCAGGACAACGCAATTTGCAATACCTCAGAAAAGAGAGGTTACTTAAAAAATTAGGAATAAGCAAAAAAATCTACTAAAATTCAAGCAATTCCGCAGCGATTGGGAGTATTTCTATAAGCTCGTTTGATTGCCCTGATGAAGATCAGTGTGTCGATGCTTAAGAATTTTAAACATTATTTCGACGGTAGAACTCCCAAACAAATTATCTCGTTTGCAGTGTCTAAAAATCTCTGCTCCTGTTTCATTTTTTTAAAAGGAGAACAAATCAATATCATTCCTTTGAATTTTCTTGGACTTTGCTTCACATAGAGAGGAAAAACATGGAAGTGTATGAGAACTGACGTTGAGCAGTTTTCTATTTAAAAGATAAGGTATGATAGGAAGTCTGCAACGTTGTAAATCGAGATGCATGATTTGGGAGTTTCACCATCTATTTGGCCACTTTTTCAGATGAAAAATGTGTGATGATGATACCGGAAATGTTGTAATGAGCAGGAATTGTCTCCAAAAATGTTTTAGGTGCCCCTATTTAGAGCAGCACCCCTTACTTTGGGCAAGTCATACTTTTTGGCTAATTTGGTGCATGGGGCTCCGTTAAATTAGAACACTAATGAAGGTACATAGGGCTGTTGCTGATGTAAAAGACTAATACCTCCCGGTTAAATACTAATATTTGAAAGCTTTTATATTCTGAGTGCGTTATTAATCTTGAGAGCTCAAGTTTTCTTTCTCAACTCCTCCTAATAAGTATGATTATATTTGTAGTGATCGTCTGATGGGCAATTCTTGCAGGCCACACAAAAACCAAGACTCTCGTAGACTACTTTCGGAGCTATCAATACTACAACTGCAATGATACTTGAATATGCAGATCACTCTTGGAAAGAACATATCATTAGAATGCAGTTCTGATAACTCCTGTAAGTCCAAAAACTCACGTAGTACCGACCCTTATTCTATAATGTCTACTACTGGCTCAAAGTAGATGAGTGAATATGCATTTAAATCAGAGTTGTAAAGAGGGAAAACTTCATTCTCACCGCTGATGATTTCTGCTTTTCTAATTTTAGTGGCTGATTAAAACTACGAAAGCTTTTAAATTGTGGATGTCTAATCTGGGACTTCCTTAAACTGAGCAGTAAAAAGCAAAGAGAAAAAAAACATGAAGGAATGCCTGGAACAGCCTTCATATAATTACATGGTAATGATATGATCTTTTGCAATGGGCCATATTTTATGATCATTAATAAAATGGACTATCAAAGAGAAATAATACATTTCTATCCTTCAGTCTGGTTTGGACATGATTTTTTCTTTTGTTTTCAAATTATGAGCAGGGATGAAGAGTACTTAATTCAAAACTTTTTCTGTTATTTTTTCCCTGGAAAAATTTCATAATGTTTCGGGTTTCAAAAAAAACCCACAGAGTCAGTTATACTTAATCCTGCTCATCAATGGGTGCCAGGGTAGATACTTCTGTGCTATGGAAAAACACTGTATGAACATATTAATGCTGCCTAATTTCCCCTAATAAGAAATTTATTTTTTAGGGAAGTCACAGATATTTTCCTTGAAATTTTTGGAAAATTTTGATTAAATTGGGAATGAAATTCCGTGCAAAATAGGAAAAAAGTATTCGTAAGTTTCTCCAAAAAATGACATTTTTATCGAAGGAAATATGGCAATGTCCCAAAGCTCATGCAGCGTTCTTCCTTAACACATTAGAATAGATTTGTGGTATATATATGTATGTGCATGCTACAAATACAATTTTGAACTTACATAATACAAGAGTTAAAATTGGTATCCATAATTCGTAGTCTCAGTATGCTAATAAATTAAGAGACACAGATAAAAAGGACAGCAATCGAACAATAATTTTTAACAATCTGGAGAAAATGTGTTGAATGAGTAACCAAAGAAATCTTGCTTATTATTGCTTTTTGCAGTATGAGTGTAAATGTGTATATTAGGAGAAACTTTAAGGATCTGCACTGCAAACACTATTCTACACACCACAATTTTTTTTAAAAAAAAGAATGTGTTTGAATGGTCGACGATTGTTCATATTCATCCAAACAGATAAGTGTCAGCTGCTGCTCTCACACAAAAATACCAGACTGTTATCAGACTTATATCCGCCCACAATGCAATGTAGAACAGACCTTAAGAGTGATAAAAATTTCGATTACCTTAAAATCACTGGAGGCAGCAAATAAAAAATAACGAGAGGTATTAGAGAATCAGTCCATTACCCATTTGAAAAAACAAAACCGTGTTCTCATCTCTGTTACTCTTGACATGCATTTCTGATGCATCTCATCCAGTTTGTTTTTCTTTCATCACATTAAATTTTGAGGTTAAATTTTTTCCCTTTGCTGATGTAAAAACCAACTGAAGCAGATAGAATTGGCTCTTTTATAATGTTCATACATGTGAGAAGGTTGATATACCTTTGACAAATGATTGTTACCAGCAAATAAAAAAGTAACATTGCACTAGGACTGGAATTAAAAATGTTTACTTCAGAAAAGGATGCTTAAAATCATAAGCATAAAGGGAAGCACGAATCAGCATTTGTTCTTGCAGAGAGGAAGAAAACTCCTGCTTGATAATTGTGTGCTTTAAGGTGAAAAAATAGAAGTTGGATGATATGAAAAACAAAAAATTATTGATTTTGCATAATTTGATACATAGGACAGATCGGCTGTTAAAATAAAAATTTTATTGAATACTTACTGGGAAACTTTGCAACAACTAAATACAAGAAAAATGGATTATGCTAAATAAATTAGCGCTATCTAAGAAATTTTGCCGAAATTCACCGTTCATTACATCATTTAGATAATATTTAATTTTAGAAAATGTTCACATGATTATTTTTAACGTAAAAAGCAAGGCAATGAGAGATTATAGAAGAAAATTTTAAAAAAAAAACACTTCGAGAGCAACATGAATGAGTTTAAAATATGGGTGATAATAGCAACTGAGAGAGTTTACATAGTTAACACACAGGTCAGATTCATTTCAGGACACACAGCTAAATTTTCAATGTAATAAAATCACAACTATTTCCTTCATTCTTCTTTGAAAAAGAAAAAATGCACCGAGTTAAATTTAGGCACATCACAAAGGTTGATATATGAATGTCCACTCATAAAACTTTACTTAAATGAATAGGAAAAGCTCGAGAGTTAAATATATTAGTCTTTACTGACCTCCATTTGGTCTAAGGACTTTGAAAAGATCCTGAAATGGCTTTTCTGTTTTTTTAAAAAAGCACAGGTTAACAGATAAGAACCTGCTTCACTTTTGAATAGGTAGTTTTAAGCAAAAAGTTTACAAGCAGGCTAAGATGATTATCCTGGGATTGTTGATCAGGCTTTTGAATTAGACAAAATACACAATTGTGTCATCAGGTTAGGATTTTAAGTTGCACGCCCAAACGTACTCTCACACGATGAAGAAGCATACATGAAAAATAGGTAGGGTTCGAATGATTAAAATTACGTGATAGTTAAAACTTCAAGGTTTAGATAGAAAGCAGCGAAATTCTAATTTTGAATCATTCAGAGTTTCTTGGGCTATTTTCTTTGATAAAGACTCTTTAATATAATTAATTAGTTGAAGAACACCTTTGTTACTTCTCCCACAAGCATTCATAATTTAAGTTTTTAGGCGATGAGAAACGAAATAAACTTCTCCTAAACCTGATCAATGCAAATTATCTGAGTGACTTGGTTGCTGAATTGAACCTTTGTGAATCTGGTCAAAAATCTGATGGCAATTATTGCCCAAAGGTAACTTTTGACATTTCTTTCTAACTTATGAACTCTTCTACAAATCGCGATTGAGAATATACTTTTCCCGCAAAAAAATGAGGTTTTGAAAAAAATTTGCATACACTTCATGACAGTCATGATTTCTAAAATGCAGAAATCGATTACAAAGGCACCCTATTAATTCTGCAAACTTCTGGTTGAAGGGGACCGCCAAATTTGAACCTGCAAGAAAATGAGCCTCAATAGAGGAAGCTAAAAGGAAACTCGCCCATTCACAACTTCTGAGGCAGCAGTGTCAGAAGAGAAAAAAAGAGGAAAAATCAACTTAAAACAAATACTTTGGAATATTTGAACAAGGTATAATGAATAAACAAAAAAATGTGTAACAAACTTCACTCCTATGACAATACAAAAGAATAAGAAACAACTTATGTTTGCTCCTATATTTTTTGACTAGGAAGGTTTCTCAAGCTGATGAATAGCTGTCCAGTCATGATGTTAAAACAAAGTTTATACAAATATATGCAGCATCCAAGTGAAAGCGAAACTATACAATTGTTAAAATGAGTTTTAGGTCTTAAGTTGCCTTAAGTTTCTTCAATTTAAAAGCCTAGTTAAGTTAAAAAGTCAGTCATTTTTTTCTAGGGTTTTATACAAAGACAATCCTATGCTTAAAAGTAAATGTACAACTGATCTTCCGAGATTATATAAGACCCCTGAAACATACAAAAAGTACATTACAACATGATTCTGTAAAAAAAAGAAATCTATAGTAGCGAAAGAAAAATGGACAAGAAAACCTATGAGAGGTAAAAAAACTTATGGTCAGGTTAGAAAAAACGAGTGGGACCGTTACTGAGAAAAGAACCGTTAGTGGCAAAAATTCAAAATTTAAATATTAAGTTGCTGAACAGAGGAGTTCTCAACACAAATTCAGGCGTTCCCTCTGGCGTGCCACAATCTGTGGCTGAAACCCAGTCTTGTGTTCCATTCTCATTACTCATCCATTTAATTGAAGTGTGGAGCTGGGAGGGCGATAACACCACGGGAGGTTTAAGAGATGACTAAGCATGTAATCAAGTCTAGTAAATATGTTCTGGCTATGTGACACCAAAAAAAAGAGAGAAGAATGATGATGTGTTCCAGCCCCTTGAAATTATACAAACTCTTCATCTGCAATCAAATTTTCAGCGAGCAAAATTTGAATAAAAATAGCAGGTTACCTACAGGCGACTATGATATTTTTACAATGAGCATACCTAGTTGAAAATGGAAAATTATAAAATGAAATGTAAAAATTAAGCTATTACTTACAAAACTCACAACTAAAGGCTTTGTTCCGGGAATGATGTAGAACTATTGCTATGTGCTAGACTTAACATGCTACCACAGACGCTATCCTCATCTTGATAGCTTTCTTTGGATGCTTCCGCTATTGCTAATGCACTGCAAGAAAAAATAAAAAGATATGAGATTCGAACACTTCGGAGTGATACAGTGAACTTCCAAAGAATAACTGGTGATTTAGAAACAAGCATCTTGATGAAAAACCTAACGATTATGTTAAAAATTTGAGTGTACATTTCTAAATGCTGTCTCATGCCAAAGACAAAAAAAAATTGATGAGATTCGATTAATACTTAATTCGATCCTGACCCTGAAACTGTAGACATCAATTTCCTACATTTTAGACAAACTTATTCAGCCTTGTATTCCAAAAATATTTATGTAACTTAGAACTGGTGCAGTGCTGATCATGGCACCGCCAAACTTAAATTCACCGAGATCACACCTAAAATCTTGTCAGAAAAATCACATTCGTGTGATTGTGCTCAGTTCCTCCTTAAATTTAACCTCGATTACATTGACCATTAATCCTCGATTTAACGAATATTTTTGCTGGTCCCCAAAAATTCGTTATATCGAAGTTTTACTGTAATTGCGATTTTTTACACTTAAAGAAGTAATTTCAAATTATTCGTTTTACTATTCATAGCTCTGAGTAAGTGACTTAAATTATTCGCTTTTTGCATCGCTGTTCACGAATAGTTGCCGAAATTAATCGCTGTTCGCTTTGTTCGGAAAATTCACTAATCGCACAGCCCTAGCTGAATGCGATCAAATAGTAAATACAATTAATATGGGGATTTTAAAGGATCCAAATGAGTAAAGGCACTTAAAATTGAAGCTCAGGTAATCAGGGCGTCTACTAAAACAGGCTGATGGAAGATCTGTACTTTTACAGTACAGTCCCAAGAAATTCAGTACCTCCTCAACAGGAAAATTCAGTACTTTTTCAGTCCCTCCAATTGTTGAAATTTGAATTTCTCGCTCAGATTGCGACAAAAATGACAACTTTTTTTAAAAGATTCCGGACCTTCTGCGGAATTTCCGGACCTTTTGCGGAATTTCCGCACTTTTTCAGTACTTCCGGCCCTCTCTTGAAATTTAAAAAATTTGAATTTCTCGCTCCAATTGCGACAAAAATGACAACCTTTTTTTTAAAAGATTCCGGACCTTTTGCGGAATTTCCGCACTTTTTCATTCTTCCAGACCGCTCTTGAAAAATCCTTACTGTTTCCGGACTATCCAGAAATTCCGAACTTGTAGACGCCTTGAGGATATTGTGCTGATTAATACTCTCATATAGGCTCAACAGGCTATTATTTCCCTCAATTTCAGATGACAGTGCACTTCGCAGATGGTGATTTAAAAAGGCTTGGCTATGCTGTCTTGCTAGAAGGCGTTATGAACGAGGAGAGGAAATTACCTGAATCCCAAACGAGCAGACTCCTCATCAAAATGTTCCAATTCTCTCTCTTGTTTTTCATGCAAGGCTTGGATTCTTTCTTGCCTATCTTGCAGAAACTGTTGTGTTTCCATTTCCATCTGAAAAAAAAAAGAATTAAGTAAGACAGCCTATCGTTACAAAGGAACCTCCTTAATTCATCTTCAACTATGTACCATAAAACTTATTAATGTCGTTATATGCTTAGATTAGAAAACTGCTTGTCGATAGTGCAACCGCAAAGATGCATATCCTGGTTGCAATGTTTCAAAATCTTTTTTTATTTTTTGAAAGGAAAAAGAACCAACACACTGGCTTGAAATTTTCCCAAATTTTTCTATAAGTAGAGAAGAAAAATCACCGAAGTTGACAAAAAATTATGTTAAGTAGTTTCCTATTTTGAGAATAAGTGTAGCGGGAAGGCTATGTCATCGCAAATCGAGATATACATTGCTGCAGTTTCACCATCATTATAGGTTATAGGTATCGTTATTTCCTGATTTTAGTCAATACGAAAAAAAAGTCTAGTCAAAAAAAAAAAAAAAAAAAAAAAAAAAAAAAAAAAAAAAAAAAAAAAATTGCATACATCGAGCAGAGAAAACTTCCCACGCATGACCTGGATTGCAATTATCAGCCATTTTAAAGTGAGGAATTAAACAAGTTGTCTATAGGGGTCGACGGTAGTTACTGTTACATAGTTTTAATTTTCCATTGAACTTTTTTTTCTAAATACTTTTGGTAGTATGCATTCCGCCTGTGTTGCTCTGAAAATAAATAAATTAATGATGGAATTTCCAGTTAATGATTGTGGTTAATCTGGTTTTTCGACCTCTATCACACCATGATTTGCAGTTTTAAACGGCGCCATTGCTGCTGTGAAAGTGCTTTAAAAGATGGGAATCCATGAAAAGAAAAGAAGGTACCTTTTGCTCAAGGAGCGCCCTCCTCACAGAGACTCTGTCCTCCAATTCTTTCCTCTCACGGTTCCTCTGTGCTTCTGCCTGCATTTTGTTCTTGCTCTGGTAGGCCATCAAAATTTCTAGTTCGTAGTGAAGCCGTTCTTTCAGATGATGACACTCCAACTCTTGTGACTCATCCAGTCTTATCTGAAATATAAAAAAATAATGATAACTTAAAAGATAGAGGAATTAAGATTAATATAAATTTCACTCACAACATGTACTCTTCTTAGTTCCGGAAATTGCCAGTATACAGCCACTAAAGTCACTTGTGGAAGAGAGTATCTCTTTTGGTTCAAAGAAAATTCATCAACTTCAGAGAGAAAGTATTCTTCATCCTTGACAACATAATTATTTAATCTGTGAAGCTGGCATTAACAAACTTGATCTACAACCGAATAAAGCTTTTTGATGAGTTCAGAGGTGTCTAAAATGAAACGAACTAAAGGATTGGTATAAGAAACTACTTACGGATTGTTTCTGGAGCATCTCAGCAATACTCTGCTCATACTGATCTCCGAGCAGTGCCAACTTCCTCCGCTGTTCATCCTTTAACTTTTTGATGACAGCTTTTTGTTCGTCTTTGGCTGTTGTAGCTAGAATTTGAGCTTTTAGTGCTTTGTATTGGGAATTCTGAATTTTACAGGTTTCTCTAAACTGCTTGCGGATCTGCATTTCTTTTTGCTGTTAACATAAAAATTTGAGATTAAGTTGATTCTGCACAACCAGGTGTCCAAAGATTCATTGAAAAATAAACTTTAAAAAAATTGTGAGATGTTCACATCAAAATCAGTCCCCTCAAACGTTCTGCTTAGAAAAAAAAGCCAAAATCAACAAAAGTAAAATTGGCCATTGAAAAATAACTCAATAGTTCGGCAAATGACTGCAATTTTATTTCATAACCCTTCTTTTTAATTTTGATTGATTATATTCATAAAAATTTCAAGAGAAATTCAACACTAGGAAAGTTCTTCTGATACAGAGCACCCTGCAGGCCGATTATTTTCGGGTCGATATCCGAATTGTATTGTTAAAAGTCGTGTTATCGCCATGATCAAGAACCGAGTGATTATTTTCGCCGCGTCGGTCGATAAATGCATCGTTAACTAAAGGTTGCCCCCCGGGCTATCGTTCCGTATCGATGTAAACATAACCTCAAAATAGAGTTAGTCCTGAAATTCGCTGCAGCGGCTTCAAGCCGCAGCGCTGGCGGCCAATCACGTGACCGATAGACGGTCTGTGATAGGCTGATTATTTGTTTGCACGACGGCAACGTCGCAACCGTTTATCCTGTTAACGATATCGATAAATAAGGCAAAATAATCACGTCGACTATGAGTGGTCGATCGTTAAGTGAATTTTGTCAAGTTATCGATTCAGATATCGACGCGAAAATAATCAGCCTGCTGAGATCATTTCAGAACTCGATTAAGCTCAAGAGGAGTTTTGATTCTGAACAAACAAGGAGTTTGAATTAGCAAAGATGGAAAGAGACTCATTTATCACTAATGAGTAATAGTTGGGAATTTTCAATAGGCTCACCTTAGGATTCAATCCTTAACAACCTTGGTGGTTACTGTTAGATTCAATCGAGAACAAAATAAATAACTGTGCACTTACTTTCAAGCTCTTGGGCTGCTGTTTCAACTCAAGTGCGTGTTTCTTCCGGAGTTCTCTTTCAGCGCGCTGCATGTAGTCTTGCTGGTTCTGAAGTTCAGTTTGATGTTGACGCAAGACCTGCTCCTCTCGGAGGGCGTGCACATTTTTCTGCTGCCGATACTCCAGCTCCTGCGTTTTTTCATGGTGACGCAGCAACATTGCATGAGCTTGCTCTAACTGTTGCTGACCTTTATTTAATTCCTGCAAAATAAGAATAGAGTTATAGAACTGACCATTAGTAAACTCACAAAATCTGACAGGCATCAGACTATGCAGTGATATGCTCTGTTTTAAGGCTTAGAAATAAAAATACGGACAGGTAACTTACAGCCCCATTAAACATTTTATTAAACCGAGATTATTCCTAGTGTAGCCAGTTGCTACCCAAAGAGATTCTGCATCCTGCACCCAAAAAATACAAGACAAATAAAATTTGAACAATCTTGAATCAAGTTTTTCTTATGATCCAATTTAGTTTCTGACTCATGGTTTGGGCTAGATTATTTCATACGAACACTGAAATGTATAGAATTATACATTTTGCCAAAGTCCTTAAAAAATATCCATGATTGTGCATGAATTTTATAAGAAAAATTACATGAATGAATTGTATAAAATTCAAAACGAGGTTTGAGACAATACCTCTTGACTTCAGCGCCTTTCTTCAATTAACTTCTACACTGACCTTTAGTTAAAATTGATTTTCACTTCTTGTGAGGACAAACTTGGAAGTATAGATTTCATATTTCTCTCTTTAATTAGATGATCTAAAAAACTGTACGGCAGAAAATGGATAATTCCATTACGTTTTTGTTTTTCCTTCTTTTAAAAGTTTATTGGATGAGAAGTGACTTATAAGTAACTCATACTTCTCTAAGTAGTTCTTGCTCGAGGTTGTGGTAACTTGTTAATTTTTTCCGGCCAAGCTTTCTCAATTCTAACTCAAGGTAATCCTTCTGGCCTCTCAGTAGCCGTTGTTCCTCTTGAGCTTCTAATTGTTTTAGACTATCTTTATGACTTCTGAAATGAAAAAAAAATCGTTACAGTTAGATCTTGCATCAACAGAAAAAAAAAACAATTCCTTGTTAGAAAATTCACAGAGACATTTGAAAATATAATTGGTCCCAACATACATAGATACAATAACTTCACTACCAAGATATGAAAATGTAAATAATGAAAAAAAATAACGCACCCTGACAAATTTCTGAGATGGTGACTAGATCATCGTAACTTCAGTGTTACAACTGACCTTGAGGCACCTCTAAAAAGGCATAAGCCTTCAAGAGCATTGCTATTGTTGCAATATTGATGGAATGTTCATTCTTTCATTTTTTATTATTTTTGATTTTTTGAAATAAAAAAGCAGAAAGAGGTTTTCACCTTACAGCGAAATATTTTATAAAGACAGCTTCACAAAGGACCATTCTTAATTTTAACACATCAAATTTTTGAGCGTATAGGTTACACCATTTTGCTGTTGTTCTATTTCAGAGCACAACTGGAAAATGTGTCTCATTTCCCTCTTGGCCACAAAAAAAAAAAAAAAAAATTAATAGACTACACTTAAAATAAGAGTTCTGGATAAAGTTAATAGTAAACAAATAAATAAATAAATATTGAAAATAAATGAGAATTATAACTTACTGTAACGTTGCATCACGTTCGCGCTTTGGGGTCGCCTCATCTAAGCTCAACTCACGTTTCCACCTTTCTTTGTTCGCTTTGTATTCTTTCTTCTTCTGTGCATCGAAAGCCTTCCTATCACATTCTTGCCGAGCAGAGATTTCTTTCTGCAGTTTCTTCTCCGCTGCTATGTTTTGTTTCAGCTGTGACAAAAGAAACAACATTTTTTGGTTTAGGAAAGAACAAGGAATAAACTGTCAAAGGAGAGCAAAAATAATATTATAAAATTAAAAAAATACAAAGACATTTCAAAAGATCATATATTCAGATAGCATCAATGGCGTGGCATGCTTTGCGACAAATCAATTGATTTGCTATTTAAACCTATAGGAAAGGATCGATAGACAAGGTGTTTGCAGCGAACACCTTAATAACCGATTCTATACCATAGCTTCAAATCGAGAAAAATCGATACTCGATCATTCACACCTCGCCACTGGATAATATTAAGCTTTGTGACATTTCTGTCTGTTTCGACTTGGATTTTTCAGCAAATATTTTCTTCAGGGGAGAGGGATATTGTTTGGGACATCAGGGGTCTTTGCCTTTTTCCTCGAAACTTTTGTCTTGGGAGAATTTTCAGATCAACTGCTTCTTGCATACACAGCTGCTGTAAAACTGCATATGCAATGTAGGATTCCTATTCATCATCAGACTACATCGTCCTTGCTTCCGATTAATTATTACGAATAAAGTTATTTTTAACATAAACTATTAGATCTGTTGTTCTAAGTGTGTTATTGTTATAAGATGAAAGTTCTTATAGAGATCTGTATATCTAATACGGACTGATTGACTACTCTAAATTATTGAAAGGTGAAATAGAGAGTGATAGAAGGACTGTGTCCTTGAAAATGGATGAAATTAAAGATAAGCAGCTCGACACAGTAATGAAAGAACAAAAACACAAAAATAATAATTTATTCTAAAGGAGGAAGACTGGATAACTTACCCGTCTATCTAGTTCTTGTTGATGTTTAATTTGAAGCTTTTCTAATTCTCTACTAAATTGTTGGAGTAACATTTCATACTCCTTATCTAGCTGCTGCTTATGACTTTCCATTTCTATCTTGCACCGCTCTTCCAACTGAAACACACAAAATTTAATTATTGGTTGCCCATAAAGAAATTATACAAATCATACAGATCAGTGAATATAATTGATGAAATAAAGATTATTTGTAAAAAACAAAAATTGCAGTAGGGCAACCTAAGCTGCAGCCTAAAGTAGTACATTTTAAGAATCAAAAATTCAAAGAGAAGAGAGGTGAGATGACAGAGAAAAAAACAAAAAACGGGTAAGACCAAAGGACAGAGATCCACCCTATAAATAAGTCTTTAATTTACCAACAGGAGCCCTCCCTGACCCCTTTGATGCATCGTTTTCCTGCCTCAACCATTACAGGGGCAGCGTAATTATAGCAGCCTCAGGGCGGCAAAAATGAAAATCTGCCCATGTATTAAGCGGCTGGAAATTTCTGGAATTCTAACCTTGATTAAAGCTGCTTGATGTTCTCGTCTCATACGCTTGTATCCGGTCATCTGTTCATGCATCTCCTCTTGCATGTGCTCTTTTTGTTGTTTGGTGACAATAGATGTTGTTCTAATGGTTGCAAAATTGTTAGGTACACCATGTTCAGCCAGTGCTGCTGCATTTGAGGCCTGGAAAAGGAAGAATTCACATAAACAATCTTTCCAAAAAGCACATGACAAAACAACTACAGTAACATGCACGCACTATGAAAAAATTCAATCTTTATTGTTCAATGTAAGGAGAAAAAATGCAGCCAGAATTCATCATAAGCTTCAGAGATTCTAAACTTACAATACATGTTACTGTTCTGTTTATCTAATAAAATTTAGGGAGTCGAATCACAATAAAGTTTCCATTGTCCATCCCAATGATAAATAAAACTTTTGACTCTTCTTGAAACTGCTAACATTGACTTATCAAACCTGATCTAGATGAATTCATAATTGACAGCAAACGGAAAAATGGCCTTAATGCAACAGGATAGATTAGTTCGGAGAACAATTTCCATTAGATTAAGGAAAATTTATTTCAAGGTTTCTACAAAAAACAATCAATCTTTGATATTAATGAAAATAAGTAGCATGCGGTTTAGTTCCTTTGTTGGCAAATGATGAGCTGAAGCTGCAATTCCGTAAAATGGTGAGCCCCTAACATGACAAATTATAAATTTACTAAGATTCTTCCTAAGACTTCGTGCTCTGTTTTCAAAAATTATAAGAAATTGTTCTCATCTACTTAAATAATTTGGGAGCTGGACATGGTTCAACTTCTTGGAAGTCATCCTCACTCAGGACCAACATTGAGGCTGCCCCATTGCGTCTTCAAGCTGTTGAATTATTTCGGCGAGGGAATATGATTTGATTCAATTTTTAACAACAATTTATACTAATATGACTTATGTAGTCAGCAGTACCTAATGCAAGTACGTACTGTTTATTGAACCGCAAAAATCAATCTGATTTGGTTCAAATTTTTGAATGGTCTTAACGTCAAAATAATTGTAATATTAAGTATTAATCACTATTATTGTATTATTAATGAAATATTAGTATCTCAGCTTAGGTAACAATACCTCATGTTTTGGTTTTTTGGCACTAAGATCATTTTTTATGGACAGTGACATCTAATCTGAGAAAATAAGTTCTTGTTTATCCTTACCTTATTTCTGAGACGAATAGAGGACAAATCGTAATTGAGGTTATCGCCTGTGTGATTTGCATTAGCAGCAGGGGGTAAACTATTCGTAGAACTGCTCTGCGATGAGCCGCTGACACCCATTGAATGTATCGAGTGTTCCGATGTAATTGAATTACTTTTACTACTGTCGCCTCCAGTTTGTTCGTCTGGTGTATCTGCAAGGGTAATAAAGAAATTTTTCTTAAATTTTTATTGATTGTTAGAAACAATTGTTAACTTGTAATACTATCATCTTGTGATCTGACTTGTATGATCCCTAAAAAGGAGTATATGTATCAACTGTAAAATAAATAAATAAATATTTTGATAAACTTTCAGCGATCTTTTCCTCTTTGACAAATATTTTGCCACTTAAAAAAATTTGCGCACAAAAATAAGCTTTGTCTCTACAACAAAAAACAATTTTGAACAAAATGAAATTGTAACTTCTTTCCGGCAACCGTTACAAATGTTGCTGGCGAAAATGCACCTAAAATCTGCAGAAAATTATAGTACAAAACTGCAGTTTTACACGCTTAAAAATCAACTTGAATTATGATTACATTAAAATAGTGCACAGAATGAATGGGCAAGTTAAGAAATTAAGGAAGAAATGTCAATTTACCATCTGGATCTCCAACATTACTCTCAGTCTCACAATTGTCTACCATCAAAATCTTCTTCATTTTTCTATAGTTAAGATTATCTAAATCCCGTACTGCGGCTTTGGTGCGATGAATTAAATCAACTAGAACGTGCGGCGATCTTTGCCTGGTTACATATTGGTGCTGCAACAAAGAGGTTTACATTAAAAGACTGGAATAGAAGTTTCATATAAATAAAGAGCATCAGCTAAGAATGAACTTCGCCAGAAACATGGTCTTTGAGTTAAGTTACAACAGTGAGTCTTAAAATTTCAGGTCCTTTTTTTCCTCTCTTTTAACTAGACATGACTTAGTTTTTTCCTTGAAACTCAATCCTATTTGGTACGCAGACACTTCAATCAGAATCTAATTGAATCTAAATATCGAAAAGATATTTGTCTACAAATGGAGTTTGAAGAAAGAAACCCATATTTTTAAGGGATGAATTAGCTTTTAAGGTTGGAGTACATAGACTTAATTGGGTAAAATTTGATACTCAAGCGCTGCTCAATTGGGTAACTAGGCAGCAAAAGGATGACTTAGCCTGAAGCTGATAAAGGATATTTCCCAGAAAAAAAATTAAGCAATTCATTGTGAAAAAGAGTTCCAACTGCAGAAATATTAAAACCAACAGGCCATACATTCTAATTATTGTAGCTTGGATAATTTTCATCGGAACTTTTCTTTTCCACTTTTGTTGATTACTTTTTAATTTGATATGCATCCCTATCAATAATATCTTACAAGTCCTTCACTGATTGCAGACACCTGTATTTACAACTTCCAAAATAGATTGACTTATTTTGTTTTAATGGGTCTAACAGGGGAAAAAGGAAAGAAGAAAAAGAAAGAGAGAAAAAAAAGAAACAAGGAATCACAAACGTACCGATAATAGTTTGCCAGAGGTGGGTCTTTCAAAGGGGTCTTTTTGAAGACACGAATCGACAAAGTGCCGAAAAGTGTCGGACCAATCTGGTGATTGCAAAACAGGTGTATCGTTTTGGGCAATATGATACAGTGCCGACATAGCGTTCATGTTGAAGTACGGTGGTTTCCTTTCAGCAAGTTCAATGCATGTGATTCCCAGAGACCATACATCCACCTTCCCATCGTACTGCCCTTCATCCATTGCTAAGATGACTTCAGGAGCCATCCAGTATGGTGTTCCTACAAAGCTGTTGGCGGGACATTTAATGCTGGCAGAACCAAAATCAGCTGCAAATTCATAAAAAATAAAAGATCAATGAAAAACAAAAAGCATTGAAAAATCATAAGTAAAGTCTCATAAATATTCATTACCTCTACCAATGGAGGGTGTCTCATTTTTCTTATTTCTTTCTACCAATTTGAGAAGACAGGTCTGCATCACAGCATTATTATTATTCTCTTTAAGAGAGAGTTATTGGGAGAAGAAATAATTATTGACTTGATATTAACCAATTCAAAGGTAGCGTTGTTACGTGAAATCTAATGAGACCTGATTTTAAAAAAAATTTAAAATGCCTCTAGGAATTCCAGTCTTCCTCGTTTCTGGCTGAAACGATCTCAAAACGGCTGACAGATGATTGTTAAATGGACAAAATGTTATTAAGATTCAAAAGTCAAACTTTAAACTGCTTAAAACAACAGCTGAAGTGAATAAAAAAGAATTTCATAGAATTCAGACCTAATTTGACGGTTCCATTTTCAGTTAGTAGAATATTCCCAGCCTTGATATCCCGATGTATCCTGCCAAGCGAGTGGAGATAGTGAAGACCACGTAAAACACCTTCGCAAATCGCCGCGATTTCTTCTTCTTTAAGAGGTCTCTTGTGCACTTCTATGATATCACTAGCTGAGCCCAAACAATATTCCATCACCAGCTGAAACAAGGGAGCACGTATGTAATGATTTGAAACACCACAAAGATAATTACGTCAGAAAAATGCATGGAATGATTACGCATAAAAGAGAAAAATTTAGTTAAGATGGCAAAATTTTCATTGACATAAAATATATCCAAGTTAACAATTTCAGTGAGGTTCAGACCATGGGTGCAAGCAAATTCAGCTATCGAAATTTGCAATATAGGACATTATTTACTTACTTACCTATTTATTTATATATTTCACAATTTACGAGCTATAAACCCAAACAAACAAAAGATGCATCAAGAATTCAACAAGATGGCAAACATACCAAGGGATACAATAAAAAAAACATATTTTGAACATGACTCAATACACCACCAAGAGAGGAGAGCATACAAAGTAAACAAAAGGAGACTAGACATCAATAATACTTAAGTATAACCCCCCTACTTAAACTTTTAAACCTGAATGGCTCCTGACAAGCCTCAGCCAGATTTGCAGGCAGTTGGTTCCATCTCCGCTTCATGCGAACAATTACCAAATTGAAACGAAGAGAGGTTCGGGAGAAGTCTTCCATAACAGGTGGGCAACTCTCGGTGAATACCCCATTTCATGAGAACAACATAGCTGAGCCACGTCAGGAGACATCATGAAACCATTTAGAATCTTGAAACTAAACGTGAGGTCTGAGAGGTGGTGCTGCAATTCTATGATGGTTAGATTCAGCTGACGAGAAATATCGCTATAATCATGATCATAAATGCTCATTGGGTGACCTGAATTGAAGATAGAAACCTCAAAAGTCTATGTTGAATGGACTCTCATAAATAAAGACCTCGAGACAAAAGACATTAATTTAGGTTTGGCAATTTGAAATTTAGAATAACTAAGCTTGAAAACTAATGTGCTATACAGATTAAAGTTTGGTTCATTCAACAGAGAACTGTTAAGGAAAGAAACTGAGATTAAGTAAGAGCTAACACATACCCATGCTGTGTGATCACGAAGAAAGCAGCCTTTGTATTCGATCGTATTTGGGTGGCTGAGTTGGCGCAGAAATCTTATTTCCTTCAGGATATCTTGCCATTTTTCCACGCTCTGCTTCCCGAGGTAAGACATCTTCTTGATAGCGACAACCTCTCTGGTGAGGAGACACCTTGCATAATAAACAGCACCAAAACTTCCATGGCCGATCTCTCTAAGATCTTCAAATATTTTCTCTGGATCCTCCTTGTCAAAAAGGTCTGCTATTTCTGGATCTTTCAGGCTACCAGGTCTGAAATGTGCATTACTGGATTAGTGGATAGAGAAGTGCTACATAATTACTAGATTAGTGGATCAGTGAATATATGGATGTTACAAGCGCCAAACCACAGATTTTGGTTTGTAATGTTGCAACATGACATTAATAGCAACGTATCTTGCCACATCAAGTTTAAACCAAGTAAAAGAGGTTTGAAGTTCTTTCCCTCCATCAGACTCAACATTGAGGGTATGAAAATTTTGTGGAAAAATGTCCCTTAGTATTCGTTGAAAAAAATAAGAAAAGAGCAGAAATTCTGAAACACAACAATCAAGGTACATATTTTTGCAGTTTTTCGATATGTAACCATCTACAGAAAAAAAGCCTTGGTGTACAGGAGCTAATTTTTTGGGGGAACGTTTGCAATCAAGAATAGACAAATTTTACATCAGGAAATAGCACCATTCAACATAGATTTGTGGTAACCAATGGGCCAACTGATGATTGATTCTTTCGGGTTGATGTGACATTTTTATCCACACTCTTCTTTCCCTTGTTCTATGAATGTTAAGGATACCCATGTTTGTAAAACATAAATAAGTATTATTGTCCTCATTGTTACAACAGTTTTTCTTGTTTGTGATGACAGAACTTCAAAACCTTGTGTCTCCATTGAAAGGTCTCATTATTTCAGCGTGTACCTCCTTCATTTTTTCAAAGGTCAACCAATCGTCATACTCACAGCTTGAAATTTTTTCAAAGGAACCAAGAAAAGGTAAAAAAATAAAAAATATGAAACCATGATATAACGATTTTTCTATTTTCCTTCAAAAAAAAATAAATCAGCTACAAGTCAAAATTTTGAAATTTCGCACTCGAAATACTCGGTTGAGCAATTTGGCAATAGACCTATAATTTTGTGAGAGGAAATTATTATGATATTAACTTAATTTTTTAACTCATTTGACCCATTTGAAAAAAAAAACCAACTAAAAACGTACCTTGGTACTGCCGGCATATCTCCTCCAATATTAGAATAGAAGCGCTAGGAAGAACTTGCCAATATGGGAACATTAAAGAGTGTCTGAACACGCAACAAGCTGAATGCTAAGACATGACTACTGCACCTGTGAAAAACAAAAATGTAACATTCAGTTGAAGCTTAATATTATGGAGAGGGCACCAACTCATTAAATCTAGAATAATCATGGTACTCAGTAAGTACCACCTTGGTACTTCAACATAGTTTCTGCTTGGGAGTTCCTTTTTCATTCTGTTTTTGACTTTTTTCACAATGTTTTAAAATCTGTGGGATTTAAATTACAAACGATAGGATGCTAAATTTAGTCTCAAGATTTCACGATATACTTTTTAAGATTTAATTTTATGAAAGAAATAAGATAGGTAATAGCTTTATATATGCCATACAGACCGAATAAAATTTACATGATTACCATCTGGAAGATAGTGTTGAGCAATTTGTAGATTTGTGTAATGAATTGTGAAAATTCCTGTAGCTCACTCCAGTTTTATCACAAACAAGGCCAAGGACTCATAGCCTGGCGTATAAAATTCCAAAGCATCGTGATTGATATGTTAGTACCTGCAGCCTACAGTGCCATTTAATTTTAATATTTCTCAATTATAAAACTTAGAAGGAGAGTCAGGCAATGGTTGACAAATCTAATAAACTAAGATTTTAGTTCAGTTTTGAAGAAACAAATACTTCGAGGATATGAAAATTTTCATCTGATTCAATTAGTTTACACTTCAAAGGAGACCCAAATTGAGGATTAATTTTCAAAGACATAAAGAAATTACTTCTGATGCTGAGGAAATTCATGCAGCTAATTGAGTAATTAAACTGAGACCCTTAGCCAGCTATGCCCAACTTTTCTCCTTGATCAGCGAGAAATAACTAACCAAGTGTGATGGTAGGGGATTTCGTAAGTCCCCACAGCCAATAACAGAGGACAACTACACATAAATCTGCACTGACTAATCTGAACAATTTTGAGAGGCTAAAGAGAAGATAATCATATATTCTTCAAAAAGGCAGCTTATACTTTTAGAAGAGAGTTACATGACTCCTACAAAACAAAATGAGTCACAGACACAGCTAAAGTAATAGCTTATTGATTATTCATAGGCTCACAGGTATAGATACATTTAAGCCATCATGAGCGACTGTGATCATATTTTTCATTCCAAGATCAAATGCTAATCCGGTTTAATTGCCAATGAAAAAGTTACAATAATAAAATCAGCCCAAAGTCGGTTGAGCCTTCTGTGCCAGCCTCACAGGTTTACAGGTTATTACCGAATACCGAAGATAACCAGATCTATGACAGAGTCTGACTTTAGTCGAGAGAAATCTCAGAGAAGCAGATATAGATTGTTCAGACAGCAAATGTCAAATTTTTCACATTGTAATTTCCAGGACTATGAGTAGTCTACATAATAATGATAGGGAGATACGTTTACCGTCTAGCTTCATGTATGATTAGAGGGTACCCATAGACCACGACCTATACGACCATTTGGTGATAAGGAATTCTTCCCTTAAGGATGATAGGAAAGCATGTGCTTTACATTGAGAGTGTGTAGCTGAATGATGCAGATAATTCGAGATAATAGTGAATTAAATGAGGGCAAAACATTGAAATGGTACTGTGGTAGAGCACCTAATGATGATAAGTAACTTGCTATCAGTTATCGTCCGGCTATTGGACCATAGACTTGACTGCCATTTGAAATTTCGTTACTCTAAAAAGCGAGAGATAAGGTGGATAAAAGGCTGGTTGAAACGAAGAACAATCCAATACCTGTAAAAATATTGCCTAGATATCCACACAATGGATCACAGAAGGGTTCACAGAACAGGGAGCTCACTTTTAGAACATCAAGACTGCACGAACGAAACTTTATGGTACACGGCGAAACCGTAATAAAAGAGAAGCGAATTACAATTTTCTGAAATCACAAGCAAGGGATTGCATGTAGAAAAATAATAAAAGGATTGCGCAGATAATAAACTAAATTAATCGGTCGAAATTGTTGAACAGCGAACTCTTGTATTGTTAAGATGGCGCTGCACTGCGCATGCGCAGTAACCTATAAAAGCCGACAACCAATAGAATATATCACCGAGAACTTTTGTCGCGAATTTTGAAAAAAAAAATTTTGGCGATCGCCCGCGACATGGCGAGGCTTTCGTTTGTGAAAATGTTGAGATCAGCGCCGATGAGAATGGCGAAATTTACCCATCTAAGCATGCTCACGGCGGAAAATACACAGAGAATGATAATCGTTTGGCTCGTAGACACAGGTGATTACGTTGGTACTCGTTGTGGCCCCAGACATTGCGCTTTCACACGGGGGTGCAGATTTTTCCCCATCATTTCGCAATCTGAGATGGCACGAAGCAGCACGCAGAGGCACTAGGGGGCTGTGAAAGGTTCAGGAAGTTAGCTGCTAAGGCTCACGGTTCAAATTTTATGGGACGACAAAACCCATCGAGAAAACCAAATTCCAGTCTGAAATTTTTTGTAAAAGCTGATACCCATCTGATAAGGCAATCGGCGGTAGTCGTTGGGGGAAGGGGGGGGGGATGGTTTTGAGTTCAGGAAATGGACCCTATTTCAGGGTAGGATCAGAAATCCCTCTTGCTGATTTTAATCCAGTTAGCAACCAACTATACCTTGTTCAAGTTTAGATGTTTGGCAGGTGCTTTTTAAGTCTTAATTTTTTTACAAATAGACCTCTAGGATCCATCAAAAACTAAAATCTTTCCTCTTGGTTGCAAAAAAGCAGAAATTTAATATGATTTCTCTAGTCATAAGCTCAGAGAACTGGAATTGTTGAAACATGTATAATCAGGAATGACTGGGTATCCTAACTGTTGCCAAATTCTCTCATTATTTTCCTCGTTATAATTGATTTGAACAGATTGGAATATATACAGCCAACTTTTCTCATGGGGAGACAGTATGCCATGTCCAAAATCCTAAAATATTTCTTATCACTTAACATCATCCAATAGTGTAGGTATATTTTTTATTTTATTTTAGTTGGTACAGTTTTGAGAGCTTCAAAGCTTTTATTCAAAAGAAATGCATCACAAATATCACTTAAGTCAGGTGAGTTACACTGGGACATCAATTATGTTGTCTTAATGCCATATCTTTCTCTTAAATTCTCTTATTAATTCAGCATGGTCAATGATTGTGTCATACAATACTGCCGGTTTACAGTCCAGCTCTAAATATAACCTTTGGTCAAGATTAATATTCTGGTAGAAATACAGATAAATACACCTTGTGCCTATTGTATTTTAATCGTAGGTCAAAATTTTAGTTTCTAAATTTCTTAGCAGAGTTGGAAATGTCATTCTGGCCTTGAAATTCACCGTTTTGAGACCTGAGATCTTCCTGAATACCTCATTGAAATTTTGCTTTCCCAGGAGACAAGAAGTGGTTAAATTGAGCCTCAGAAGAGCAAGCAAAAGGCTTTAATGATGTCTAGTCGGCGACATTTGTTATCTGTCATTTCGAGTCCCCTCTAGGAAAAAATGAATTTTTCTGCCTCTATATTCAAACAAAATAGCAAAAGTCACAAATGCTAACTCATTATCATTTATATAAAACTATTCATTCAATTCCATTGCTCTCAGTCAAAGCTATAACTTTATCAAAAGCTGTTACCATTTCCATGGTGATTTGAAAGTTTAACTTGCAAAGTAATTGTGCTTTTGTATTTAAAAAAACAGAAATCAGTCGGAGGAAAATTTTTTGAACTGACATTACTGACATGTTACATGAGAAAATGCCTTGAAAATGTTTCCATTTTATCAAGAGTTGATCTCAATGCTTATTGAAGCTGAATGTTGATGTTTATGTTGCACTGTTAACAGGTACAGGGTTAATGGAGTGGAGGGTTGCTAAAAAATAACAAAAGGAATTTTTAAAAAAAGGAGGAAAATTTGTTTAATCGAAACAGCTATCAATCATGTTAAAACTGTAATCTTTCATAACTTCAATGAAGACAGGTATTCAAAATGAACAAGGAAAAAAATGTGATTGGTACTACTGGCACACTGGGATACATGAAAAACTGAAATTAACGCTTGGAAACAACAATTTTAAGGATGATGAAACTAACACAGAAAAAATGAAATTTTACGTCATCGAAAAAGGCTTTGAAAAAGTAGACACAGAACCAGGAGCCAGGAGGACACTCTGGATAAAAATTACTCATAAGGAGTGCAAAGATATGGGTATGTGCCGGGCAAAAATGAAACAGTCTACCTAAATTAAATTAATTAAATTTGCATAAAATAATAACTAGTTTCAAATTTTAACAATAACTTAACATTTACAATATCGATACAAAAATACACATGTACTTCAACTCTAATTTTTTATTGTTACATGTACCGGTCAGCATTAAAGAAATCCACGGGCTCTTTGTAATTATAGCAAGGATGTTGAGAACATTTTTTTTTCATCTACATTTACCTTCTTTTAAGTTGTAAAACTTTCGATGATTCGAACAGAGTCTACTGTCATAGATACAAGAGAAATTCGAAACCAGTTTCGATTTTTTTTAGTAGATAAAGTCTGTAGATGGTCTGTAGAATAAATTACAGGATGATAATTAACAGAATTGGATAAGGTAGAAACCAGATCTTGTTCCGAGAGCTTACTTCCAAGACAAATGATGATTAAAGACAAAAAAAAACTAACAAGGGACTAAGAGTAAAAAAAAATAGTAACAAAAGCAAACTTTTCAACATTATTTTGATTTCCAATTTTTCAGTAAAATGCGTGACAAGCATATGTTGTATTGACCAGTGAGCGCCGACCGCATTTTATTAGATTCTAATACTTCCCTACTGGAATGAGCTTGCAGTCAGAAAATGCCAAAGCTTGGACTGCCATGCTAATCGGGTACACCAGAACTCCAAAATAGTAATCAAGTTATCCCACCGGTAATACTTCCTATCATTAATTTTCACTCGACATTTGAAAAGAGAGATCCATAAGGACACTTCCATGAGCCTTAGGGAAAAATTCTTGAGGGTAGCGAACATAATGGTGACAGATCCATGTCATGATAAATAAAATTTGGGGCAAAAATGGGCCAGACGGAGTTACAGTGATTCCACAGAGCATGGCAGCTAACCTGTGTAAAATGCATACATACAATTATGTACTGGGGTAACAGGTAACAGGAAATAGTACAAATTTCATTAAGCGTTTTGATTGTTCCTAGCTTTGTTTCAGAAACAAGCGGAACTTAACTATTATAGACAAAACCTATCGGAACATTTAAAAAAGGCGATAAAAAATATATTTTTTCTCGTTAAAAAAGAAGAATACAGAGAATAATCGTGGAAGAAACAGAAAAGACACAGTAACAAAATGCAAGTGAGAGAAACTACTGGTTCTTACAGTTATCAGGGTTTTGGGCATTCTTGCCTTTGATTGCTGGTTTTTTGCCTGGTGCAGGCTCATCTCCCTCGTCATCGTCATCATCGTCCTCTTCTTCTTCTTCCTCATCTTCATCCTCCTCCTCTTCTTCTTCTTCGTACTCTTCATCTTCGAGTGCTTCACCTACAACAGAAAAGCGAACCAAAGATAAGTTTGGTCTAATGACTGAAAAAAAGGATCTGCAGCTAATGTCTTACATATATCTTAACTTTCAGCCATCCCATTTTTCAAACTGATCTTCCCGTTTGAAAAAACCCATTTTGGAGGCTCTTCTTCTAAAACAGCTTGCGTACGTGGTAGTGGCCATCTGTCAAATCTTCTCAACTGGCACGCAAGGAGTAAGAGAAGCTCTGCTCTATCACGGAAATTTCTGCTAAATAATGTTAGTAAAAATTCTGAAAAATTATTTTTCCAGTCCTGTTTACTTCTAAATTGGTAAAGGAAAATTTCGATTTTTGAAACTCATTGTCCTTAGGTCACAAAGAGCACCGGATCAAACAGGTGATAGGAAAATTTCCCTGGCACCAAGTCCTTTGGTTTTCCATGCGGGACCCTTCGTGATCTTGATTCCTACCACCTTCAAGCTTGGTTGAGTTGGTAAGAATGACTCATCAGAGTGCCTACAGAAATTCATTATGGATTATCCAAATATTTTCAATGAAAAAACCTTTTTTTTTCTGCATCAATAAATTGACACTCGATCGATTTTACAAACCAACATATGAAATGAATTAAATTGAATGTTTCACTCTTGCATGTAGTTGAAAAGTTCTTGACTCGCTCAGAATTTCCTGATCCATGACCAATACACCTGGTATTTCCTGACAACATTAAATTTCCCGATATTTTGCGGTTTTTTCTGACATGCATACTCTGGTCGTTAGAATAACTGCTCAAATTATAAGTATTTGCACGGCTGAAAAGTCCTATTTTCTGATTGATCAAAAAATATTGTTAAACGAAGTGATGATTAATTGCACAACCTTTGCATAGAATGAAAAAAGAGAGAAAGTGAAGAAAAATTGACTCACCTGTGTAATACAGTACAGCTTTCGGAACAATGCGTTCTCTAATGTAGTAGCCGATTTCGTAATCACTCGTAAGCAGAGCCTGGGTGTCTTCATCAACATCACTGGCATCTTCCGGTATGCGAGGTGGGTTGAAGAAGTTGAAGAAAGAGTCCACTTGAACTGTCTTTGTTACTGTTCTGACAGCTCCGCGTGATTTCTGCTTTTGTTTCTTCTTCACCGTTCGGACGGTCACATTCTTGCCTTTCTTCCAATCAATGACACAACCCTGAAATCATGTTGGAAAGGTATACAACTTTAATTAATGAGTGAGAAAATCTTGGAAAATAATAACAAGCAGGAAGCTCCAACGCATTCGCGTCGGAAAGCGGCTCTAGCGACGGTAGGTAGTTGTTACGCGTTTACGGTTTCCTTGGTAACCTTTGTTTGCTATCAGCTGATGTCGAGTAGTATGACTAGGAAGCTCCAACCACGGCATTCTTCGAAAAAAGCGCGAAAACTTATAGATTTGAATTTTCAAATTTTAAACGTAAAGTACATTTTTTCCAGTGCGAGATTAAAGCACAGACCCGTTTTGAATTATTGACAGTATCACCATGATTCCAAAAATACACTACACAACATAGCATCCACTCACAGGAAAAAGATATCAATTAAAATAAAATCAGTCCCCCCTAAACAGCAGAAAATGGCGCCGATTCCCATCAACCAACACGCGGTCTCTCCAATGTTACATGGTCCGTTGATACTCCCCAGCTGGGACCGTCCGGAATAGCAGCTCTAGTGCAAGCACCAGAGCCGCTAATACAGTATAAAAATGTAAAGGAGTCATGTAGCGTCAGCATTGTATTTAATGTGTCATGGCTGAATCACAACTTAGAAGTCACTGTTGTGCCAGGTGAGCAAAATTTTGTTCTTCTTTCATGCATTGGTTTCGCTCAATGGCCACAAGATCCACAGAGCGAATCCTAGCAGTGGCGTGGCGTGAGTAATCGATTATCGATATCTCGCCATTTGAAACTATGGTAAAGAATCGATTACTAAGGTGTTCGCTGCGAACACCCTGATAATCGATCTTTTTTCATAGGTTTAAATGGCACAACAATCGATACATCGCAATTCACGCCACGCCACTGAATCCTAGATGAAAAGGAAAAACTCCGATCAGACTTTCCAATGGTACATCTTTAACTTGATGGTCAGGAACCTATTTTAGGGTTTTTTGCCTTGTCTAGAGTGCGGCTGATTTCTAATACTTGGGCTCGTGCCATGGCCGATATACCTGATATTTCCTGATAACGTATAACGTATTCATGCAACTGATTATTTCTTGCAATTGAAACGGTTCTACAAATATTTCTATCATGTTTCCAAGAGCCAAGTTAAAACAAGAGAAGATGATATTTCTGTCATTGCATAAAACACATGATGCATTAAAACAGCTGCAGTCTATACAATAACCAAGGTTATGTGAAACTGATTTGTTAAAATCTTTACAAAGGAGATAGAATTTTTTCCCCTCAATTTATTGACTTTAAAACTCCTTGTGACTTTAAAATTAAACTTAAAACTAATGAGGCATTTTCATGTATGAGACTCTCCTCCCTAGGACTTGAAAGTTCAACAGTATGTAATGATGAACTTGACTGATTACAGCCAACTACTAGTTGTTCAAGTAAGTTCAGAGTAATATTGAAGAAGAGAGAGTCGAAAAATACTCACGCTACACTTGTATATTTCAGGGGCTTCAAAACTGAAAGGTTCATCATCATCGATAGCGCATTTCATGTAGTATTCTTTAGTTAGGACTGAGTTGGAGAAATATTCGTTTGGAGAAAAGTGGAATTCTAATACGAAACCCTGTTGAAAGAGAAAAGACAATTAAAAACATATTTCCTCTACTCGCGAGGGGAGAGAGAGAGTAATGACATGCAAATAAAGTATTAGCACATAGATTATCCTCTTAGGTGGCTAACTTACATCTCTGAAATCGCAAGACAATGCTTTTACTGCTATTTTAAAGTATACTTAAAGACAATACTTGGAAAAATTCCATATGATTATGACTACTCAAATAAGAGGATAGCCAGTTCTGTAAAAATATCGACGCAGAAACTGCAGAAACACGTGTCTCAGTTTGCAGCATTGCAGGCTTTCTGTCATACTTCAGTATTTAAATAGAAAAAAACTCAATGTCATTTCTTGAAAAATATTCTGAATTTTTGTCTACATGTAAACGATGATCTATGAAAATTCCAAGCAATAATGCAGGCTTAATCTCTTTCATAAAATAAAATGTGGGAGTGGCAATTTCGAAACACTGCACACTTTATATGCGTTCCTGTAGTTTAATCATCACTAAGCAATGACTGAACAAAATTGTCGTAGGATTAGGAGATCCTCAAGACGACTTTGTCACCTTCAGGGACTATGGTCATACATTACTATCGGCTTCGTGAAGGAGAGGACATATTAAATTATAATTGGTCCTTCAACAAATTTAAAGCCTTCCTAAGGGTTCCACTCGGAAAAAAATAACAACAGAATGAAACTTCGCCCGTGTTGCTCTTCAAAATTTCAATGAAAAATATTTGCTCATTGGTTTTCTTATGAGATACCTACAGAGCAAACCAGAATTCTTTAACACGACGATTGAGCGACAGGGCTCCTTTGTTTCACCAATGCAGGGATGCCGAAAGTTCATGGGGGCCCTAGCGCTCAATAGATAAAACTTTCTCAACCATTATTTCTTTTCCTACTTCCACTGATTAAAATATACCAGCGGTATATAGATTTCTTAAATGAACAGAACACCGATAAAGGATGCGTTTTTGTAGTAGGAATAGGAGATCCTCGAGACGGCTTTGACATCTCCAGGGACTATGGTCATACATTACTATTGGCTTCGTCAAAGAGAGGACAAATTAGATAAAAATTGGTCCTTGAACACATTTAAAGCCGGATGGAGAGGTTTCCATGAAAAGAAACGGCATTTGTAATTACAGCTGCTTTGAAAAATTCTTCAAAAATTTTCATGCAAAATTATAAACAGTCTTTCTTCTTAAAAAGATATGGAGTCAAAATTTCTGGCCACTGCAATTAAGCATTGCTTGCTGAGCACTGCAATTATCGTTTTATCATCAAAATGTGATGCAGGGATGCAGAAAATACTTAAGCCCAACCACTCAACATGTACCTTAAGTTTTCCTTTTTAATACTGTAATCAGACACTGACATAAGTTTACGGATAACACTTGGTTTTTATACTGTCGCAGATTGATATTTTTATTTTCAAAGCCTCTTTTCTCGGCTCTTCACTTTAAAGTGCAACCAGATCAGAAAAATCTGCACTTCTGATGTGCTACCAGCAGGTTTAGAACATGATTCATGCTAACTAACAATTATTCACCAAACAAACAAGGCAATGACAGAGGAGGCGTTTTTGTAGTAGGGTTAGGAGATCCTCGAGACGACCTTGACGTCTCCAGGGACTATGATCATACATTACTATTGGCTCATTAAGACAGAGGACCAATAATATTATAGTTGATCCTCAAAAATTTAATGGCCTCACTTGATGTTCCCCTAGTGAATGAAATTGACGACACATTCGTCACTTCTTCAGTTTTTATATACAGCAGAAAAAATTTTAGCCTCAGCAAGCTGGCCATATGGACGTATTTCTATCAAACAGAGCTAAGCACCGATTTGAGTTCCTTTTGAGGAAATTAGAATCCCGGATAGCGTGGTCTGTCAAACGGACCTAAGCGCCATGGAAAAGCATTGCGAGTATAGGACGGAATAAGCCGGACGCCCGATCCCGTCGCCAATCCAAGCCCCCCTCTACCTTTCTCACCCTATGGCGCTTGGGTCTGTTTGGTAGAAATACGTCCATATGTAACTCAAACCATATTAGGAAGTTTCAAAAGAAACCATCATACTATCACATTAGAATAGCTCGTCAAAGTAAGTAATTGGTGCACTTACCATTGGTTCATTTAAAAATATAACTTTGACATCGATCAAATGCTTGAGGATTGGCTCATCCGCCTCTTGGATCATCTCCGACAACATTTGAGTGTTTTTGAAAATCGTCAACCAGAAATCAGGTATCCCAGATACGTTTTCAAGATTCTCCCTGGGCAAATAATACAATTTGTAAGAATTTAAAGAATCATTAATAAATAAATCAAAGTGTAACTGTAAATACAGGGCAGCTCATTGTATGAAGAGACTTTAACCTATTAAAGTAACCCTTAAAGTAACTTTATCCCATTGCACCACATTCTGTTTCATTTGAACAATCTAAATGCATTGAAGGTAACATAATTCCACCACGTTCAGTTGCAAAACAAGGCCTCGGTACACAATCAACTAACCAAACCAATTCCTATCCAAGTGTCGGGAGTCATCAGTCCTAAAATCGTTACTTTGCTTTGTTTTCAAAAGAAAACTTTGCAGAGATGTTCCCTGCAGCAAGAATTGATGAACGGTGGCTCTCTATTTTGATCAAAGAGGACTGTGGCATGGTAATCAACTGTCAGCAAATGGTTTGTGTTGGTCAGAATTTGATTGTCTATTGGGGTCTACAAAGTTGGTCTGAAAATGAGCTGCCGATAAACTGCAATTGAAGAGAAAAGAACTAAGGACATTGGATGATTAAGGAATGTTTCTACAAGTGTACACTTTCTACAAACTACTTTGCAGAGCGAAGTCTTGGGACAATCAAAGGTTGGCCTGTGAGCAGAGCCTGCGAAGTGATTCTGTCAATTGGGAGTCGACTTTAAGCAGAGAGGGCTAATTTTTGGTCAATAGTTGAGGCAGATTACTGGACGGAGATGAAAAAATTAAAAAACAGAGCTAAAAACAAACTTACAAGATCATAAATTGAATATGAATGGATAATGAAGGAGATGCACTTACTTTTTATCTTCTATCGCAACTTTATCTTTGATGTCTTTCGTGATTTCACTTACTTTCTCTTCATCATCTGAAGTCCATTCGCATTCATCATCTTTGGGTTCGTATAATCCACACACGATTTCTCCTCGCTGAAAGAGAATGATTAGAGGCAAAATATTAATTTGGAACAGGTGAGTAGCGAGAAAATTAAGCAGTTTTTTCCCCCCTTCAATTGTTGAGAATTGGCCTCAGGTGAATTTTTTTATTTTGTTCCCCTAAAATTCATTTTCTTGGTGAATAGTAGCTAGATACTATTAATCTTTGGTATTTTTCATTTAATTAAACAATTTTGCATCATATCCTCCAGATTTCTACCAACTTCTCAGGTGAAAAAATTATATTTTTATTCCCATCCACTGAATTTTTAACCTTTATGCACGAGGTTGCAGTAGTCTATTAAATTGAAAATCTGAGCATTTTCAGACCATTTAAATTTGCATTTTTGATATGAGTGGACGGACAAGCTTGTTTGTAATAGTTGGATTGTGAAAGCACAACCTCACGTGCGCACACACCCAATCGCACAGAACTCACAGTCGGAAAGCGAGCTGAAGGTTTGACAGGATGTCTAATGAGAGCGCCACCATTCTTTACTATCAGACAGGGTAGTTAGCTAGTCCTACAACTTGAGCCTGGGACTGTCTGATAAGTGATACGAGTTGGATGTAGACATGGGGCATGGCTGTTAATACATGAAAAATCCTTGACCAACATCAGAAGAACCCTGCACAGAACACAGGGCTCCCGGTAGATTTTGATGAAATTTTAATAGATTAAAATTAACTTCATCATTAGCGCAAAGCCAAAATATTGGCACATTCTAACAAATGGAAGCCAAGATATAAACGATTAAATACAAGCCATTTTCTGTGCGGCGAAGACATATGGCCGCTCCTCCGTCTTTTTTTATGCTTGAACACTTCAGACTTCAGCCGAGAAGCCCCCTCTCTCCTCCTTGTAGCTCTCACTCCTCTCCTCTGAAGTGCCTACAGAGATGCTAACACAGAATCGGCAAATGTAGGGAGGAGGGCGTATGGCCTTTGCACCAGCCGAACGTACAGGCACCTAACTGTGTGTGAGGTCTGACCGAAAAACGCCAAACAGCCAGAGGAGACTGAATACGGAGGTCCTCCGCCAAGCTGTGATAAGATAGAAAATAGTCTGGGTTCAAACACGAATATCTTGGCTTCTACTTGTTAAAATGAGCTAATTTTTTACTTTGTGCTGATGATGAACTTTAATTATATCTATTAAAGTTTTATCAAAATCTACCGGGAGCCTAAGGCCCCCGTTCCGTGTGGGGTTCTTAGCTGACTTTTCCCAGATGGTTGTTCCCCCCAACTTTTACATGTTATCCAGGTAGCAAACAACCCTGAGATATTGTAAACAGCTGAATTTTAATGTCTGTTCAGATTAAAAGAATTACAGTGAAGATAATAAAAAAATTTCTCTCCACAAAACCAAGAGGAAGTTGATGAGAGAATCAAACCTTTTCATAAAACGGAGTGTAAAGATTGTGATATTTGCATTCAAGCTGGTGGACCTCTTCATAGAATTTTGCTTCTATTTTGGCGGTTTGTAACTGCAGATTTTTGAGAGCTTTGATTCTCCTCTTCACCGGAGCAGGGAGATTCTGAAACAGACAATGATCAAATGAAAAATTTTCTTCTTGATGAATACATTCGAGCACTAGCTAAGAGAAAAAACTAATTCTGTGATTCCAGCAAGCATCGAGAATTGATGACACAGAAAATGCCATCCTCAAGTGCATAAGAGCAAAATCTGAGCAAGATGCCCTGAAGAGCGCATTAGGGAATGACAAATCATTGTTGGCAATGCTGTCACAAGAGACAGGGGTAGACCTAGTTGCCTTTGCTGAGAGAGTGATGCGAAAGAAGGGGCCCTTCCCATCAAAACTAGGCAGAAAGTTCTTCTATCATAATTAGTAAGCTGCGAAAGAAACATCAGAAATGGCGGTGCTCGCAGCTTTGATTGCATTTCAGCTCACAACTGCCTTATGAAAAGTCTTTCACAAAAAAGTTTCAGTCTAAGTCTTTCCTTGCATTTCAAGTGTGAAAATAGGCTTCTAAGTCTGTCCACTGTCTGGGCAGGTTCCATCTTCATCATGTACCCAGTAGAAATAAAGATACTTAGAAGAAGAAATTTCAATGAGTAGATCAATCGACAAAAATATGCTGTAGCACCTCTTACAGAACATTAAAAGTTTTCAACAGAAAGATAATGACAAGTTCATTGATCGATAAGAGTGATAGGCGGGAAAAAAAAATTACCGCGATCATTTCTTGATTAAGCCTTCCTTGAAGAGCTGCAAGAATATCAGGCCGTCTGAAAACCTGGGCGATGTTGCTGTCATCTCCAGTATCTTCTTCCATTCCTTCAGTCTCATCATTACTGTCAACCTTTTGTGGGTCTGCAGCCATTGTTGATTCAGATAGTTACTAGAAAAAGTCAATAATTAATCATTAGCAAAAGTAATATCATTAAGTAGGTGGTTGAAATAGGCATGGTGCCAATAAGCAGTTTGGAACTTATGTGTATTGCTACAGATCTTCTTGTAACATCTGCCAACTTGAGCTCGCTTATGTATTGAATCTTGAGACAAAAGTCAAGTATCGACTGTTGCCAGAAACAGGTGCAAGACAATTTGGAGACTCCGCACTCCTCGCCTTTATTTGCTTTTTCTGTCTTTGATCAACGTTACTTCTCACCTCATAATACTAAGCAATCTTGGTGCTGTTGAAGGATCGAATCTTCTATACACTCTCTCAAATTCTCTGTTACCTATGAGTCAACTCAAAATAGCTACCAACTTTGTGTACATCTTGCATTCTTCACCTTCCGACTCACTGAAAATCAGCAGAATTTTATGACCAGAACAATCAGAATAGACCTGACGGATACATTTTAACAGTATGAAAAGAGAGGAATGACTCTTAGAACAAGGTGCTAGGGTTTCTCACAAATTTCATGGAGTAAACCAATGAATGGTTGAAATCCTCGCCTGTCATGAAAACATAGTGGGCCATACATGTGAGTATTGAGCAAGCCTTGGTGTGAGACAGGAGATTGATCACTCACTGCATTCATTCTGAATGGAGCACCGAACTGGACTTACAAGCTGAGATCATCATCAGCGATCAAAGCAACATACTCCACAAGACATCTGGCTGACAAGAAGAATCTACTGTACTGAGCATCAGCAGTAGAAAATACGGTTTGACATGCAGATAAGGTCTAAGTTAAAGGGTGCGGAGAGACATCGACACAATGAGCCTGTTGTGAAATAAAGCAAGGTGTGAAGTGCAGGCTTTAAAAAAGCTTCAGTCTTAGCCATTAAAGACTGGGGTGAGAGGAGCAGGGTAACGAGAACTTGTCTGGTCACTCTGATGGGCATAAAAATTTGAAAATCCGCCGACTCTGCACAAACTCGGAGAATTTCGGCCGCCGGATACAAAGGATCATGCGGTTGAAATTCCCGACCTTGGTTAAAAGCACATGGAGCTCAACGAACCGCGAAGGCGGAGGCCGGATAAACAGCACATTACAAAAGCGTGAACGTTTCAATAAAGCTTACATTTTAGTTTAAGAGCTATGAACTAGAAAAACTTACACGTGCACGAGAAAAAAGACACTTCCACGGCCCACTGACAAAAGATCTTCCCTTCACAATGCCGCCGAAATCGGAAAGAAAGAATGCAAATGGTCGTCTTCCATAGAACGAGAATCGAAATTCGAGGGGTTGGCTTATCAAAAACACAGAGAATTTGTTGAATAGAGGAGACTCACGCGAAACATGACTGATCATCTGTGGGCAAAAGATTCAAGATTCTAACGCAATTTGAGCTTGAATTGATGTAATCGAACTTGTGATACTGAAAATGCAATCTTTAATAGAAAATAATTGGAAACTTTACCATTAGAAAAACTCAACTTCGTTAATTTTAATTGAACTTTATTAAGGAACCGAGGATGCAACCAACTTGACAAGTATGCTCTGCAAAAGAGGGGCAGCATTATATGTGTACACTTAAAACATGTTATTCAGAACTTTGTGTCACTGTTTACTCTACATAAGAAAAGCAATTAGAAATGGATTAAAAATCTAAGCTTTATGAAAGATAATGATATTTTGAACGCCCTGAACTCTGGGGATTCCATGAAGGGGTAAGTTGTAATTGTATCATTGTTTTGGAAACGCACTCACAGGAGCTGAAGTGACTGTCTACTGCGAAGAGTCTCTGTCATACCTGCCATCTTGATCTTGTTGCCTTTTATTTCCGAAGCCTCCACACGGGAGATTTTGTTGAGTGCATTTTAAAATGGGTCCAAAATTCGATCCAAACGAAATTAAAGTCGGTAAGTAATCTTCAAGAAAAGTTCGAACTTTTTATCCTTGGTTTTCATCATCTTCAACCTTAATGCTCTTGTTTGACCGACCGCTATCTTGCAACTTTCGGACGCATCACCACGTGTCATCGTACTATTTTTACGTTTTTGATCCTTAGTTTTCCCACAAGTACATCCGGTCGCAATCTACTTGCGCCCAAGGTAGAATTTACAGTGTGAAACACATCTGCAACTATGCTCCTTCACGGAAGGCAACATCTGTCAGCGACATGTGATTCTCTTCCAACCTAACCCCTCTCTCCCGTCAAATAACATGTAAAATCCCCTTTCATCACTTCAACACGAATGAGACTATCCAAGGTTTACCCCTTTTTCGCTATAGCATTACTGTCTCTCACCAGCTGTTCTCAGTTCTGGTTTGATGGGCTGATGAGGAATGAATGCATCTAGAGAATTAGTCAACGCCACGCCAGTTTATATCCTCTAGCGCAAGATGGAAAATCTACCGTTCTTATTCTTATACTCGTCGAGTACGTCAAGCAAAAGACACAGACCTTTGAATTGGATAGTGCTGGGTCTCATTGTTTTGAAGCGGTCTAGTCTGACATGCAACTTTTTACACACACCTCGGACCTCACTCCTTGCGGAATTGTTGATGCTGTATTATCTAGTTGAAATATTCGCTCTGCTGCTAGCAGATCAACCCTAGAATATAGACTGATTGAGTGGCTACGTCATTTGATATTTTATTCTTCAAATGTAAACAAACACTGAACCTTGTCTCTGATTTGCACCATGGTGGTATGATGCTTCCAAGTGTTTCTTACCATTGAACGTTCTCGCATTTAATGTGTCTTTAATTGGTTTCTAAATTGATTTACCCCACCATTTTCCTTTAATATTAACAATCTTTTGAAAGGAAGCAAAAACTATCCGCCATCCTGAGAGTTATCTTAGATAATTATGAAGAAGCAACATTTTTACAACACTGTAATTGCGCTGGTTCCATTTTGCTTAATGCGATCCAGTTATAATGTATATTCCACCCTTAGACAAGCTACCTGTTTGGTTTCTCTTTCTAGTGGATGCATTTCTCTTGTGAAAATGAAATAAAGTTAATCCTCATTTTTTACTTTCAGTTTACCTGCGATGTGTCGGAGGTGAAGTTGGAGCCACATCTTCCCTTGCTCCTAAAATTGGTCCACTAGGTTTGGTAAGTAGTATCACACATCAACACTACTTATCATAAGTTTAATTGCTTTATCCTCTGTAAATCCTAACACTACTATTGATAACACAGATGATCTTATCCCTTCTATTAAGCAGCTCCTCCTATTGCATTTTTACAGAATACAACAAAAATTGGTCATTAGTAAGCATTTCTTAGGTTTATTTCAAACCATTTCAATCAGAATATAGGTGTTTTTAACTAATAAGCATTTGTTTCCATTCCGCTTACTGGCAGTCGCGATGCAGTTGTCCAAAAGCGATAAAAGATTGACAAAGTCCAGATTGTGAGCATAGTCAATCCTTGATCCTTATCGGACAACTGCATAACAGTTGCTTGCTAACGGAACGTAAGCAAGTGCCAACTTAGCCGACGACACCTCTAACTGCTCAATCAGTCAGAATCATGAAAAAACAGAACCAATGCGTTGTCCATCAAAATGTGAGCTGTAAAAAGGTATGGCGAAGTTAAGGAATTGCGATGCGAGTAAATGTTGTGCTGTTGGCAGTGCCGATATCAGCACCATTTCTAAAGGATCTGGAACTAGTTGGTGAATTTTCTTCGTAGATTATCAATTCGGGAGCAACCGATAAGGGACAAGTATTTAGTCCCTATGAACCTCCTCTGTAGTATCTAAACAGAAGTAATTTTGTTAGTTGCCTCAGTAGATTCAATGACATAACAGGAAGGAATGAACTCTGACTGACAGTTGTCAATACTATAATTTCTGTCAAAAAGCCTCCTGAAGAGCTCCAGCAATTCCTACTTAGAATTCCTGGCCATTGGAGAATACGTGTGAGAGGGTGCGAGTAATATCTCCCAAGACCAAAGGGAAGCTGCCGGGCTACGTTCGGCGGGTTGCTTACGTTACCCGGTTACCTGCCCTTATTCCGTATAGTGACATACATTTAATACTTTTTTCCTTAATTTAAAATGTGATTCTGCCGAACAAATTTGTTTCTTTCGATAAAACTTGCCAAAATATTCAACCGAAAATTCCACGCCCGGAATAAATTCACTTTCTTAAGTAAAAAAATCATCTTTTATAAGTCCTCTGCATACGATCCCGTGTGTTTTCGGGAGTTACGAACATTTAACCTCAAACCCATGACCAGGTATGGGTAGATGGTATTGGCTCCAGTCAGTTTGTGGATATTTGTATGTTTACAATAGGAGAATGCCAGAAGGCAGATATTTTTTTAATATGCATGCAGTGGAACCAATTCTCAAGATTAGGGACTTTACAAAACATGGTTTGGTTTGAAGTGGGAATGTAGAGGCCAGGGTCCCAACTCAAGCTTGTGGGTGAAGTAAGTCTGTCAAGTTTGAGTTTATTTTAAACCTGAGATCTTGGATTTGCTCAGATATTCTGTTTCAGGACAATTTTTTTTGTTATCTTAATTTTAATACCATTCATGGAGTCACCTTATTTCATGTATAAATGTTTTTCTTGTTTACAGTCCCCCAAAAAGGTTGGAGATGATATTGCCAAGGCTACATCTGACTGGAAAGGACTTAAAATAACTGTACAGTTAACAATTCAAAACAGGGTGGCCACAATCTCAGTAGTCCCATCTGCCGCATCTTTAGTAATCAAAGCCCTCAAGGAACCCCCTAGGGACCGAAAGAAGGTCAAGAACAGTAAGTTTTTTGTTTATTATTAATTTTCCGCAGAATAATTACACAAATTTTCCATTATTCATTGCTGTATTATACCCCCTCTTTTTTGCAAATTTCATGCCTTATGCTCAAAAATCCTCTCAATCCATAACAAAATCGCAGATGTTTCTGGAAAATTAGGTTTGCCGTTTAATTTTCTCTCTCAGGTCGAAAGTGATATTAGTCCTTTTATTACATTGTCGGAAGAGCCCACTGCCCCTAGAAATCCTGACATCTATAGTAGCAATAGGAAGCAAAGATGCAATGTGCCTCAAAAGGCTTGTAATGGGTGACTAAGGCGACTAATTCTTCAAAATAGTCTCTACTATTGCTAGTCTGTCAAATGAAAATTGACCCTTTTTTTTTTTTTTTTTTTTTTTTTTTTTTTTTTTTGGGGTCGTCAACTTTTTAGGGGGAGTTTTTTAGGATTGGGCCGGAGTGGCTACCGCCACCTAGAATTTAATAGTACTTTTTTGTGTCAGAGGTGTAGAAAGTTCCGAATCGCTGACTTTTTTGCACAATGAAGCGTTTCTGCCTCACAGGAATGTTCAGGGTTTCCCTCACTCATGGCACTATAAAACCTCCTAATTTTAAGGACTTCTATTCTGAGGGAGGTCATGATTTTGCCCCATATTTCAAGATCCACGCAATATCCAACGGTTGCCTTTAGATCTAGAAATCAAGCATTTTTTGCTCTCCTGATTGCCGTTTTGAACACTACTGTTTATTGCATGATATCTACTAAGGAGGCACTTTATTTATCTACTACAGTTTTTTATTCATTACTTGTCATAAAGCTACTTGACTGTGAAATTTTGTTTAGTTAAGACTGAAACCATTTTCAAGTATTTAGGGAGGTATGTTCTTCCCCATGATTTTTGATGCCTCGAAAAATCCTTGAAAATACTTTAATTTTTTCTGGATTATAAATGGAAAAATATATCATTACTTCTTGCTATCTTATTATTTTTATTTGACAGCTTTATTGAGGTTAGGTCTTATTTTACTTTGTATTGAAAACTTCCAAAATTTCTGATAGCATTTTCTGTATGTTATATATCTGCTTTCTTAATTTTCTTCTGCAGCAAGCTGGTAAAAATCATGTTAGGTACAGGAAAATCAGTCTTCCATTTGGAAGCCATTCTTCAAAGCCTTCAAAAATTATTTTTTTACTCCTTGAAGCTTACATGTATAATTTTGGAAGTTCCTGTTAAATCCTTGCTGCTCCTTGATTTTAACTACTATTCAAACTACTTTTTAAACCCTTAATTTCGGTTTTGAACTTGATAGAAGAACCCTTCTGTACTTATAGTGGCACCTCTGTAATCTCTTTTCACCTTAACCTTTTTCCAGTCAAACACAGTGGTAATATCACATTCGATGATGTACTCAACATAGCAAGGACCATGCGATCAAGATCAATGGCCAAAGAATTCAAAGGAACCGTCAAAGAAATATTAGGAACCTGCCAGGTACTAAATCTTTTGTAAATTCCTCATATGAACATCAATTATAATTTTACCTTTTTTTAGTGTTAGCCCGATAGTTCTAGTTACAGGAAGGTTCAATACGTTTTTCCTTTCTCAAATAATGGTGCTCTGATGAAAAGATAGGAAGCTATGCAATGCTGCCCAAATTTTGCAATTCTGCGTCTCATTTGCAACTGAGGTGTCATAATGCGGTATTTTGCAAATCACATTCTGACTACTTTCTTATCGAAAACAATTTGAGTGATGTCTTTTTGTTCTACAAAAAATTAAATGCAAAGTTGCTTAGTTGTAGCAGTGCTGGAAAGCTCTCCTGAATTTCATTAAAGAACCAAACCATCCAATAGAACATAAATTTTTCCACGAGCAGGTTTTCGTATCCTGGCTCATCACTTAAAAGTTTGCACCGAAGTCATACAACGCCAACGTTCTTCAGATTTTGACCTCCGACGTATAAAGCTTCAAGACAATTTGTTCATTAGGTGGAGGTAAGTTTGTCTGCCATATGCCCAAACCTCGAACTGGTTTCCATGACCTCTCAAAGGTTGGAAGCAGAAAATTAAGAAGCTAGGCTGTGCAAATAATGGTACCAATAAGTCTTGAATCTTGCCTGGTTGTATTAGCTGTTTGGTTGTAATTAGCTTTGTTTCAAACGGTGTATCACCTTTGCCATCTCGGCCAAGATAAGCTTTTTCCCACTTCAATGAAAATTTCAGTTTTTCACTGACTTTTAAGGCATGTTGGCTTAATCATCAATTCTGTATAAAGTTCTAAGATCTTTATAATTGTTAGATTGCCATTTTTCTGGCTAGTCAACAACCACTTCGAAATAATTTTGACCCATATTCTGACAAATGACATTGAAATAGTATAAAATGAAATTAACTGTAAAATGCTGATCTGAGTCTGGGTGGTGAAAGCAGGGGTTCAGATACTTTCTAACCACGAGCCCAACCTGGTCGCATGAAAAGATGGCGGAACCCATGTAAGAAGAGGAAAAACTGAGGAACCATAAGAAGATTGAACGGAATAAGGAAATCCCCAGCAAGATACAGCATTGTATCTGAGTAAAAACTGATGTTCTGGTGGTTTTTAGTGTATTTTCTTCTTTTTCACCCGTAGGGGGAAGGGGTCATGATTTGTGGTTAAAAATGGGGGAGGGCTGATTCAACTTGGACAGAAGACCAATTGAATTTGAGGAAGGTTTGAAACTTTCTGCATCCCTGGTTAAAAGTTTTGTACATTCCTGAAAACCTTTCACTCAAATTTATGTGTCCCTCTCCCAATCTTCGTTTGTAACTCTTCTCTGTTCTTTCAATAATTTTCATCTTCTAATCTGTACGATTTGTTTGATTTCAGTCTGTCGGATGTGTCATTGATGGCAAACAACCCCATGATTATATTGATATGATCGATGATGAAGAACTAGAAATACCTGACGAATAAACTTTTTTAAAATAGATAAGTTTTGTTTTGTAATTACTTTGTTTTAATTGATTTTCTCCTCTGAAAACCTCTCAATTTAAAAATGGCCATGGCAAGAAAATATAAGCATTCGAGCAGAACCTGTTGAATATAATGAACCATAACTTATGGGATCAACAAGCGCATTGCAGAACTGAAATATATGAGAAATTTATTCTTTCTTCCCATTATTACTTACTTTTCTTCGAATTTTAATCCTAGAGTACAGAAATTCACTTTAATTGAAATGGGTCAATCGCTGTTGTTGCACCCACAAACTTTCCAACAATTGTAACGGTTCATGGAAAAAAGCATCTTAGTTCCTGGAGAACTATTTTTTTGTTGAAATGAATCAAGAATCTTGTTTTTTATTTTTTCTTCTAAGAAAGACTATCTAAGTATTATTCCATAAGAAAATTTTAATCCATTGATGGAGTTTCTGAGGCCTTGTCTCTGCAGATAATTATTGGGAAATTCGTCACAGAGTCGAGTCGTGCGATAGAAACTTGGCCGATTTTTCGCCGTTACCATTTCAGAGGGGCAAGGCTCTCATGTTCTTGCAACATGAGTATAATTAACTATAATACGTTTTTTTTTTGAAATGTTGGTAAGAGATAGGGCAAAATTAAATGATCAGCAAAACTAACTGAGTAAAAATAAAAACAAACAATTGAAAGATCAACAAAATGGACTAAAATTAGCTTTCGGCTCGTTCTCCTCTCTTGGTTACTCTTGGAATGCCAATTAATATTGAGTTTGTAGGCAGTTTTTCAGTGTGACTTTTCGCATCTACAAATTGCGAAAAAACGTCCTGTGGAGACAAGGCCTGAAAATTGTCAGGAATTCCAGGTTAATAAAAAAGCAATAGACGAGTGGGTTATTTTACTTATCAATTTATTATAATGTACACAATATCTTTCATTCCAGAAATCTTTTAGGCCTTGAAAATCCTTAAAAAGTGGTAAAGAAGCACCCTATAATAGGCAATGCCACCGTTCAATGTGTATCTTTAAGAATATGCAGGGCTCAAATGTCCAATAACTTCACCTACTTTATCGTTGGAAGGCCCAAAGCTACCAATGGGTCACTGAACCATGAACAGATTTTGTCTTGCGAATACATTTCTTTGAAAGTAATTAACGGGTAGAACACGATGCGCATATTAAAAATGCAAAAAAGTAACTAGAAACTGAGAAACATGCAGTTCAGAATGTGCAACTTAACTGCAATTTTAACATGCCTTGGTTTTGCAGTGACCCGAATGATGTCATCCAGCATGTATCAAAAGAGAGGTCAGGTTCCTACAACTTCTGTCAAATGTCTATTTATTCCGCATATATGAAAACAATAGGGAAGTTGAGACCATATCTTCAGGATCAAAGAATGGAAACTCATTTATGTTATTTGTAGCTGACAAGCAACACTTCCACTTTGAAATGCGTTTTACTTTAACAGACATCAGTGGAAAGGTGCACTTGAAATTTTCTCGAGTGTTCGTACTTTATAAAGTCTGGGATTTTCGCTCAAAATATACACAATATATCACCATGTAATCTACACACCTGGTACTTTCAGAATATTAAGTAAAATACGCAAGGTGTAGTGATCCATTATTTTAACATAACTATCTTTAAAAAAAGAAGGTCAACAGAACAGCATTCTGTGACTCCTAAATGGCACTTTTATATAGTTATTTGTAGGAAAAATTTTGAGAGCTAAGTTTCTTAATTCATTGATTAACTTTCCTTGCTAACTTATCCTGAACGAAGACCAACATTTCCATTGAAATAGATACTTATCACTTCTTTTTCCCAAACTTTCATTTCACTTATTCTGCAGTATAAAGTTCATTTTGTATCTGAAAAGAAATAGCAATGCAAGGGAAATTGTTCAGCGCTGCAACGTAGAAAATTTACTCTATATGAGATATTTAATCTAGGAGATGACACATGATATTTATGGTAACTGTGAGGTATTAAGTTTCTCCCTCGCAAAAGCTACAAAGAATAAGGAATGCTAACCAAGTGGCAAAAGCTGTTGCCGCATCTCATCAGACAATGTTCATCCGTTTGCGCAAGAGAATAGCCATACTGATCTGATGGAAATTTTCTCTGATGTGAAATGAAGTTAATAATTATTATACTGTGCAATTCATGCGTAATTTATCTATTATAAAAGAATGAAGGTTTTCAGTGAAATTTGGCAACATCTAATGTCTGTTGGTTACTTTTTGTTCTAACTATTCCGCCGCAGGAAGGCAACTACAGTACCTAATCTCTATAGGCAAGTACGACAACTGGAGAATCCACTTCTGGTTGGCTCAGCCATCTGAGAGCTCATAGGGCCTAGAACGTGACTTACATAGCATAAGATGACTCAAAAGTGCAGATAATGAGATTTTACTCACTAATATTACCTTTACTGAAATCATACAATCAGGTGTAATTATTCAGTTTTGAAATCAATTTTTTGCATTCAATTTGGAAAAAAAAGTTCAACTCAAACGTTTCAACTACCTCCTCTTACTCACTACCACGAACAGTCGTTGGCATATTTTTGGATCTTGAGGGTCTCCCTCCCCGAGAGACTCAATGGTCATACAATCTCTCACGGTACTCCACTATGTGCATTGACATATAACACAATCTAGACCGTGCATCAGGAAATTTCAGAGAGATGATAGGCAACCCGGATTGCAATTTGTGCCGATACAATGGAAAATGGAAATGCCAGTCTTGTCTGTGCCGTTGCCTGGCACGCCTCGTATATCCGGCTGTATCAACGAAGCTGAAGGCGCGTCTTTACTCTCATTAATAAGCCCCCTAGCTATCTTACCTCCCCCGCTTAAAGTCGGGCCTACTGCGCGGTCTAGATTGTGTCATAAGTCATTGGCAGTGTGGACGTATTTCTATCAAACAGATTTATGTGTAGGTGAGAAATATAGAGTGTGCTCGTCAGTTCTCTGGCCGTAAGAGTGAATGAGAATAATAAAACGCCAGTGACGTCAACGGAGATGGATGCCGTCGTCGCGGCTCCTCGTGGTACTCGTGGTGGTCATCAACTCATGAGCCCTGTCCACAACGCTCTCGTGCCATGCCCGCGGCTCATATGGACGTATTTCTATCAAACGGAACTATGTGCATTAGGTATGACGTGAGCCCTGTTATGCACTTATTCTTATGGGTCTCAGGGCTCACGTCTTAATGCACGTAGTTCCGTTTGATAGAAATACGTCCATATATCCCACATTCAGTTGGCACATAGTTCCTGTTGGCTGAATTTAAAATCTCGCTTTTCCTATTCTTCGAAAGGAATCACGCCCACTGACCACATTGCTTCTTATCCAGCTCTCTAGAGCACACCCAACACTTACCTGCACATAGTTCTGTTTGATAGAAACACGTCCATGTGTGAGCAGTAAAAAGCGAAAGCCAGGTGAAAAGTCCAAGTTGGAAGGGACTCAGTAGATGTAGTCGTCGTAGCCTTCGTCATCGTCCTTGTAGTCGTCGTCGTCCTCGTAGTCCTTGTTGTCGGCGGCGATGCCGGTGTCGGTGTCCAGGCCGAATCCGTAGTCGTCGACGCCAGGCGGGACGAGGGCACCGTCGGCGACCTCCTCGGCGGCGTCTTGGAGTCCGATCATGGTGGCGATCCCGTAGATGAGCCGCTGCACCACGAGCCGCACGAACCGGATCGGGTTCGTCTCCCGCGACACCACCCTCCGCTCAGCTCCTGCCGCACCACTCTCGCCGTCCACCACCGCAAGCCCCTCCTGCAAACAAATCATTCCAAGTTAGAGTACCTTTATAGACAGAGTATGGCCATTCGTATCTTTTTACTCCGGAAAACTGTTCCGCTTATTGATTGGTCAACGAGTTTTTAAACTTCATGATGCTCTTAGGGCCGTATGTCAACAAACAAGATGGCGACTCACCGGAACATCGATAAGAAGCTAACTTTGACAACAATTTCAATTATACGGCGGGAACAATTTAAACTAGCATATCTACGAATAACACACGAAAAAAACGCTGGACCCAGTAATTTGGTCCGCAGTGGTAGTGGCGAGCCCGAATCCGGGTGCCCCGAAAAAACACCGGAAGGCTTTCCGACCATGAGCCCTGGAAAGAACGGCCGTAACCGGGGTTGGATTGGTCCATACGCTGTTTTGTCCTTTCTCTCTCTCGCAATCAGAAGCGGCACGTCAAAGGAGCACACTCGGATTTGACAAGCCGCCGTTTTATCGTCTATCTCTCTCCCACTCATTGATCAGATGCGGCAACCCGCGGCTCGTCAAAGGGAAACACACACACACTGTGGAATAAAACAGGCTGGGCCTCGCAATTCGGTCCGCGGTGGTAGTGGGGTGCCCGAATCCGGGTGCCCCGAAAAAGCACCGGAGTGCTTTCCGACCATGAGCCCTGGAAAGAACGGCCGTAAACGGGGAGTAAGGCTCAACTTGGCTTGGTCCATACGCTGTTTTGTCCTTTCTCTCTCTCGCACTCATTGCTCAGATGCGGCACGTCAAAGGAGCACACTAGGCTTTGACAAGCCGCGTTTTATCGTCTATCTCTCTCCCACTCATTGATCAGATCCCGCGGCTCGTCAAAGGGACACACACACACACGCAAAAATACAGGCTGGGCCTCGTATAATTCGGTCCGCGGTGGTAGTCGCGAGCCAGAATCCGGGTGCCCCGAAAAAGCACCGGAGTGCTTTCCGACCATGAGCCCTGGAAAGAACGGCCGTAAACGGGGACTAAGGCTCAACTTGGATTGGTCCATACTATGTTTTGTCCTTTCTCTCTCTCGCACTCATTGCTCAGATGCGGCACGTCAAAGGAGCACACTCGGCTTTGACAAGCCGCCGTTTTATCGTCTATCTCTCTCCCACTCATTGATCGGATGCGGCAACCCGCGGCTCGTCAAAGGGACACACACACACTCGCAAAAATACAGGCTGGGCCTCGTAATTTGGTCCGCGGTGGTAGTGGCGAGCCCGAATCCGGGTGCCCCCAAAAAGAACCGGAGTGCTTTCCGACCATGAGCCCTGGAAAGAACGGCCGTAAACGGGGACTAAGGTTAAACTTGGATTGGTCCATACGCTGTTTTGTCCTTTCTCTCTCTCGCACTCATTGCTCAGATGCGGCACGTCAAAGGAGCACACTCGGCTTTGACAAGCCGCCGTTTTATCGTCTATCTCTCTCCCACTCATTGATCAGATGCGGCAACCCGCGGCTCGTCAAAGGGACACACACACACTCGCAAAAATACAGGCTGGGCCTCGTAATTTGGTCCGCGGTGGTAGTGGCGAGCCCGAATCCGGGTGCCCCGAAAAAACACCGGAGTGCTTTCCGACCATGAGCCCTGGAAAGAACGGCCGTAAACGGGGACTAAGGCTCAACTTGGATTGGTCCATACGCTGTTTTGTCCTTTCTCTCTCTCGCACTCATTGCTCAGATGCGGCACGTCAAAGGAGCACACTCGGCTTTGACAAGCCGCCGTTTTATCGTCTATCTCTCTCCCACTCATTGATCAGATGCGGCAACCCGCGGCTCGTCAAAGGGACACACACACACTCGCAAAAATACAGGCTGGGCCTCGTAATTTGGTCCGCGGTGGTAGTGGCGAGCCCGAATCCGGGTGCCCCGAAAAAACACCGGAGTGCTTTCCGACCATGAGCCCTGGAAAGAACGGCCGTAAACGGGGACTAAGGCTCAACTTGGATTGGTCCATACGCTGTTTTGTCCTTTCTCTCTCTCGCACTCATTGCTCAGATGCGGCACGTCAAAGGAGCACACTCGGCTTTGACAAGCCGCCGTTTTATCGTCTATCTCTCTCCCACTCATTGATCAGATGCGGCAACCCGCGGCTCGTCAAAGGGACACACACACACTCGCAAAAATACAGGCTGGGCCTCGTAATTTGGTCCGCGGTGGTAGTGGCGAGCCCGAATCCGGGTGCCCCGAAAAAACACCGGAGTGCTTTCCGACCATGAGCCCTGGAAAGAACGGCCGTAAACGGGGACTAAGGCTCAACTTGGATTGGTCCATACGCTGTTTTGTCCTTTCTCTCTCTCGCACTCATTGCTCAGATGCGGCACGTCAAAGGAGCACACTCGGCTTTGACAAGCCGCCGTTTTATCGTCTATCTCTCTCCCACTCATTGATCAGATGCGGCAACCCGCGGCTCGTCAAAGGGACACACACACACTCGCAAAAATACAGGCTGGGCCTCGTAATTTGGTCCGCGGTGGTAGTGGCGAGCCCGAATCCGGGTGCCCCGAAAAAACACCGGAGTGCTTTCCGACCATGAGCCCTGGAAAGAACGGCCGTAAACGGGGACTAAGGCTCAACTTGGATTGGTCCATACGCTGTTTTGTCCTTTCTCTCTCTCGCACTCATTGCTCAGATGCGGCACGTCAAAGGAGCACACTCGGCTTTGACAAGCCGCCGTTTTATCGTCTATCTCTCTCCCACTCATTGATCAGATGCGGCAACCCGCGGCTCGTCAAAGGGACACACACACACTCGCAAAAATACAGGCTGGGCCTCGTAATTTGGTCCGCGGTGGTAGTGGCGAGCCCGAATCCGGGTGCCCCGAAAAAGCACCGGAGTGCTTTCCGACCATGAGCCCTGGAAAGAACGGCCGTAAACGGGGACTAAGGCTCAACTTGGATTGGTCCATACGCTGTTTTGTCCTTTCTCTCTCTCGCACTCATTGCTCAGATGCGGCACGTCAAAGGAGCACACTCGGCTTTGACAAGCCGCCGTTTTATCGTCTATCTCTCTCCCACTCATTGATCAGATGCGGCAACCCGCGGCTCGTCAAAGGGACACACACACACTCGCAAAAATACAGGCTGGGCCTCGTAATTTGGTCCGCGGTGGTAGTGGCGAGCCCGAATCCGGGTGCCCCGAAAAAGCACCGGAGTGCTTTCCGACCATGAGCCCTGGAAAGAACGGCCGTAAACGGGGACTAAGGCTCAACTTGGATTGGTCCATACGCTGTTTTGTCCTTTCTCTCTCTCGCACTCATTGCTCAGATGCGGCACGTCAAAGGAGCACACTCGGCTTTGACAAGCCGCCGTTTTATCGTCTATCTCTCTCCCACTCATTGATCAGATGCGGCAACCCGCGGCTCGTCAAAGGGACACACACACACTCGCAAAAATACAGGCTGGGCCTCGTAATTTGGTCCGCGGTGGTAGTGGCGAGCCCGAATCCGGGTGCCCCGAAAAAGCACCGGAGTGCTTTCCGACCATGAGCCCTGGAAAGAACGGCCGTAAACGGGGACTAAGGCTCAACTTGGATTGGTCCATACGCTGTTTTGTCCTTTCTCTCTCTCGCACTCATTGCTCAGATGCGGCACGTCAAAGGAGCACACTCGGCTTTGACAAGCCGCCGTTTTATCGTCTATCTCTCTCCCACTCATTGATCAGATGCGGCAACCCGCGGCTCGTCAAAGGGACACACACACACTCGCAAAAATACAGGCTGGGCCTCGTAATTTGGTCCGCGGTGGTAGTGGCGAGCCCGAATCCGGGTGCCCCGAAAAAGCACCGGAGTGCTTTCCGACCATGAGCCCTGGAAAGAACGGCCGTAAACGGGGACTAAGGCTCAACTTGGATTGGTCCATACGCTGTTTTGTCCTTTCTCTCTCTCGCACTCATTGCTCAGATGCGGCACGTCAAAGGAGCACACTCGGCTTTGACAAGCCGCCGTTTTATCGTCTATCTCTCTCCCACTCATTGATCAGATGCGGCAACCCGCGGCTCGTCAAAGGGACACACACACACTCGCAAAAATACAGGCTGGGCCTCGTAATTTGGTCCGCGGTGGTAGTGGCGAGCCCGAATCCGGGTGCCCCGAAAAAGCACCGGAGTGCTTTCCGACCATGAGCCCTGGAAAGAACGGCCGTAAACGGGGACTAAGGCTCAACTTGGATTGGTCCATACGCTGTTTTGTCCTTTCTCTCTCTCGCACTCATTGCTCAGATGCGGCACGTCAAAGGAGCACACTCGGCTTTGACAAGCCGCCGTTTTATCGTCTATCTCTCTCCCACTCATTGATCAGATGCGGCAACCCGCGGCTCGTCAAAGGGACACACACACACTCGCAAAAATACAGGCTGGGCCTCGTAATTTGGTCCGCGGTGGTAGTGGCGAGCCCGAATCCGGGTGCCCCGAAAAAGCACCGGAGTGCTTTTCGACCATGATCCCTGGAAAGAACGGCCGTAAACGGGGACTAAGGCTCAACTTGGATTGGTCCATACGCTGTTTTGTCCTTTCTCTCTCTCGCACTCATTGCTCAGATGCGTCACGTCAAAGGAGCACACTCGGCTTTGACAAGCCGCCGTTTTATCGTCTATCACTCTCCCACTCATTGATAAGATGCGGCAACCCGCGCCTCGTCAAAGGGCGACACACACACTCGCAAAAATACAAGTTGGGGCTCGTAATTAGGTCCGCGGTGGTAGTGGCGAGCCCGAATCCGGGTGCCCCGAAAAAGCACCGGAGTGCTTTCCGACCATGAGCCCTGGAAAGAACGGCCGTAAACGGGGACTAAGGCTCAACTTGGATTGGTCCATACGCTGTTTTGTCCTTTCTCTCTCTCGCACTCATTGCTCAGATACGGCACTTCAAAGGAGCACACTCGGCTTTGACAAGCCGCGTTTTATCGTCTATCTCTCTCCCTCTCATTGATCAGATGCGGCAACCCGCGGCTCGTCAAAGGGACACACACACACTCGCAAAAATACAGGCTGGGCCTCG